GTGGTCCTTACTGGACACAGAGACGCTTCTTGAGGTCCTCACAGGGCTACTGCTTCAGCCTTGGTTCAGCTGCCGTCTCGTGGAGAGCTACCCGCTCCTCGTCTGTTGCCCAGTCCAGCTGTGAGGCCGAGATCTACGCCGGTGCCATGGCGGCACAGGAGCTCCGCTGGCTGACCTTCTTGCTCACTGACTTAGGTGAGCGGCATAGCTCTGCCTCGGTCCTGTACGCTGACAACAGGGCCATGATCCTCCTGTGTCAGGAGCCTCGACTTGAGGGCAGAGCGAAGCACATTTGATTGCGGTACTTCCTGCTGCGTGAGCTGCAGCAGCGTCGCCAGGCGCGCGTAGTACACTTGGCCTCCGGTGCCAACACAGCTGATATCTTTACGAAGGTGCTTGCGCCTAAAGATCATCAGCTGCACTGTGTACAGCTAGGTCTCGTTCCTGTAGCCTCTCACTTGCTAGGGCCTTTGTACTGTCCCTTATATCTATATTTTACCCAGACTGGCCTTGTGGCCTCTCCCAGTTGCTGGACTAGTAGTGCCGCCCTGGGCTTGCTCTTGCCTTGTCTGTACTCCTTTTGACTGGTCTTTAGACCCTTGTCTCAGAGGCTGGACTAGTAGTGCCGCCCTGAGCTGCTTCTTCCCTTGTTAGGCACTGCCCCTATATAGTCTAGGGGGTGTGTCAAATGTAACTTAGGTTGTTACTGTAGACTATACTGAATTGTGCCTTAAAGGGTACAACACCCTAGTCTATATATCATTGTACACACATTCTAGTTCAATCATTTTCTTTCTGATACACACGGCAGGCACAAGGCTGTGGCCCGTTGATCCCTGCCCAGCCGTGGAATTTAGTCAAGCAGGTGTGGCAGCAGCCCTGGTCACGTGGTGCTGCAGTGCTGGCAGGTGGCGGCAGGGTGCAAGGCCTGGCCAGTCAGGCGCTAATAGGCACGCACACCTGTGCAATCAGTGGAGCGGAGGAGCAGAGCATGTGCCGCACAGCAGCAGCAGCAGCAGCAGCAGCAGCAGCAGCAGCAGCAGCAGCAGCGGCAGCAGCAGCAGCAGCAGCGGCAGCAGCAGCAGCAGCAGCAGCAGCAGCAGCAGCAACGCACGCTCACGTGATGCCGCGCTGCCGGGTGGCGGCAAGGCGCAAGGCCTGGTCGGGGGAGGCTCCATCCCGCAACATGGAGAGGAGAGCTGAGGCCTGGGAGGAGGGAGAGAGGGGGAGAGGGGGAAGGGGGGGGGGATGAGTGGGGGAGAGGGGAGAGGGGAAGAGGGGGAGAGGGGAAGAAGGAGAGAGGGGGGGAGGGGCAGAGGCAGCAAGTAAGCCAACAAGCGGATGACTTGCTGGATGACTCTAGAGGCGATGACGTGTGAGAGGGGAAGGGGCAGCACAAATATTACGCAGCACGCAGCATGCAGCAATGCAGCATGCAGCTCAAGTATTCAGCAGCACGCACCTTGAGCCTCACCACCTTATTGCTCGCCTCCTCGGCAATAACCGACAGCGCCAGCCCCAGCCACTGCCCCGCCGCCGCCGCTGCTGCTGGGCCACCCCCTGCCCCCTCCTCCACGCACCACTCCCGACCGCTCATCGCCACCTGGAACAGCGCAGTTACCGCATGCGCCTTTGCCCCACCACCCCCCCCTTCAATCACATCTGCCAGCACCTCCCTCCCTCCCTGTAAGCACAACTGCTCCATCCCCTCCTCCACCCTCCCTGCTAGCTCAAGCAGTAGCACCAGGGGGAGCTCGAGCTCTGGGGGAGGGTGCATCTGGAGCAGGTGGCATGCAGTGGCGACGGCACCTGCCCTCACTGCGGCTATTCTGAGGTCTCGGGTGCGGCAGAGTTGGAGCAGGGATTTGGCCACGTCGACTCGGGAGGAGGTGGGGGGAGAGAGGGGATTGGGAGGGGCGAGGGAGAGGAGGTGGAGCAGGGAGGGGATGACAGTGGCATAGCAGTCTTTTGGGCTCACACTGACACCGGCCCTTCTGCAGCAGCTGCTGCTGCTGCTGCTCCTAGGAATGGTTGGGTTGCCGGTGTTAACAGTGGTGTCAACTCGGGAGGGGCTAGTAGTATCGATGGCACTGGCGGCCCCTGGGCTAGGTCCAGGGCTGAGAGAACAGGCGTCCAACGACGGGCAGCTCGTCCCAGCAGGTGCTGTGCTGCTCCTGCCAATGCTGCTGTGCGCCAAACCACTGCCACTGCCACTGCCACTACCACTGCTGCTGCTGCTGCTGCTAGTGGTTGCTGTGATCGTCCTGCCACCACAACCACCACCAGTGCGGCTGCTCAGCCCCTCCCCACCACCACCACTGCTGCTACTCCACTCCGTCCCCACCGGACTCACACCCCCCTCACTCCGCCCCACCGCTCCTCCACTCTCCCCATCCCCTCCCCCACTCCCCCCCCCTTCCCCTCCCCCAACCCCTCTCCCCCCTGAAGGCTCCCCTTCCCCCGATGGAGTTGGGGAAAGCAGGGTGTCCGGGGGAAGGGACGCGGAGGGGATGGGGGAGACGAGGGGGGAGGGTAAGGGGGAGGCGGAAGAGGAGGGGGGGCGGCCTAGAAGCGCAGCTTCCAGGAAGGGGCGGGTGGAGGGGGTAGCAGCGATGCGAGAGAGGGAGGCAGCAGCGAGGCAACGGGTGGGGATGGGGGCGGAGGGGGAGGAGAGGACGAGGGTGAGGGAGGGGAGGACGCCAGATGCCATGGCTGGTGGGAGGAGCGCGGGGTGCATGAGAAGGTTGCAGATCACACATGCCGCTAGCTCACTGATTTCCTCACTCACTCCCGCACTCGCTCTCTCACTCACTCCCGCAACCCCACCCTCACCCACTCCCTCACTCACACCCCTCACGTCTGCCCCACTCTCCACCCTCTCACATCCAGCCGCTTCACCTCGCCTCCTCTCCTCCTCCTCCTCCTCCTCCTCCTCCCCTTCCTGTGCATGCGTCTCCCCATGTGCGTGCATCAACCCCAGAAGTGCGTCCATGAGTCCGTGTGTTTGTGCCACCTCCCAGCACGCCTCCTCTCCCAGCCGCGTTGTGTCACGGATCTGCCTCAATGCCGCTGCCACCTCCTCCCTCCCTACCCACTGCTGCTGCTGCTGCTGCTGCTGCTGCCTCTGCTCCTCCCTGCAGGCCCCTGCAGCGGAAAAGCAGCTCTCTCCCTCCCTCCCTTCCCTCTCCACCTCCACCCCTTTCGCCTCTCTTTCTTCTCCCAACTGCTCGTCCCTTCTTCCTTCCCCTAGATCTCCCTCCTTCTCCTCCTCCTCTCCCGCTGCTCCTCCTTCCACCCCCCTCCCTCCCCTCTCTCTCCCTCCCCTCTCTCTCCCCCCCCTCCAGTATCGCACCACCACTCGAGTCGCCTCTTCGACTCCCCCTTCTTCCACCCCTCCCTCCTCTGCAGCTCCCCACCCGCTGAACGACGCACATGCGGCCCCGCCTGCTAGCAGCCCACCCCGTGCGCCCTCCCCCTCCTCCCCCCCACTGCCACACGTCGCTGCTTCACCCCCAGCATCCCTCCTTCCCCCTTCCACCTCCCCTTCCGCGCCCCCCTCCGCGCCCTCCTCCCTGGGGCTCCCTTTCCGCCAGCTTTCAAACCTTGACACCAGAGACCGGCTTTTCCCCGCCAATGCCTTCCCCCCGTCTCCCCCCCCTGCACCCACCACACCTACCGCACCTAGCGGGCTCCGCCGCTCCCCAAGCGGACTCCGCCTGTCTCCCTCCTTCAGAGGGGAGGCGCTCTTGCTTCTGCCGATGAGGGACCTTACTCCCGACCCCGTCCGGTTGCCCACGTGTATCGGGTGCAGGTTCGCTGCCAGTCGCCTGTTGCTTATCCTGCTGTTTCTCCCATCACCACCACCGCCGCCACCACTAGCCCTGTCACCACCACCAACCGTGCCACCAACACTGGCACCATCACCACCATTCCTTCCCCTCCGCACGTCCGCTCCCCCATTCCGCTCCGCGCCGTCCGCTTCCGCCCTCCCCGCTTCCGAGCTCCCCGCTTCCACGTTCTCCGCGTTTCCCCTGTCGTTCGCGCCAGCGCCGCTAGGCCCCCCGCCCTCCCTCCAGCCATCCGCGCTGGGACTCTGCTCACTCGCCAGTCGTCGCACGGCGTCGCCAGGACTGTCGTTCATCCGGTCGCCGTCCACCGCGCAAATCGCCCGTGCGGCGCTCGCTTCCGCCAGGGTCCTGTGCCTCCCCACTGCAGTTCCGCCTGCGCTTCCGCCTGCCCCCGCGCCCCCGCCAATGCTCACTTTACGCGACAGCAGCCGCCCCATGCTCTTGCTCTTGCCCCACCTCGCGCGGCTGGACGCGACCCCCGCAAGAGCGGTGGCGGCGGCAGCGGCGCCGGCGCCGGCGCTGGCGGGGTGGGAAGAGCTAGCGGTTCCTCTGCTAGCGGCGGCGTTTTCTGGCGCTGATTGTTCATCTGGCGCGGAGGAGCTCGGCGGAATCGGAGACTGCGCTCGCTCTGCCTCCCTCGCGCGCTCTCTCGCACTCTCTCGCGCGCTTTCCCCTCTCGCGCTTTCCCCTCTCGCGCTTTCCCCCCTAGCGCCGAAGCTGAACCCGCGTCTTACAAACCGTCCGGCGGACTTGGACCGTAACTTCCCCCCCTGCTCGAATTCCACTCTCCCGCGCCTCTGCTCCGCTCCGCGCGCGCCCTGCCGCTCTGGAGGCGGGGTGTGGTGGCGACACGTGTCAGTCGCAGCGACATCGGCGACATCGGCGACCGGGACTCGCGTGCGACGTCGCTCGCCGTCGCCGCTGTCGCTGTCGCTTTCGTATTCGCTGTCGCTGCCGTCGCTTTCAACCGGCCAGCGACGGGCCGCGATCGCCGCAGCGGCGGCGGCGGCGGCGGCGGTGGCGCTATTCGGCGCGGAAGTGGAGGCGCTACGGGAAAACGCGCGGACGAACTTGGGTAGCGGGCCGGCGGTTGCGGGGAAACAGGAGGGCGCGGGGGAGCGCGAGGGGGGCGTTGGGTAGCGAGAGGAGGGCGCGGGGGAGCGAGGGGAGCGCGCGACAGGCGCGGGAGGCGATCTCTGCTGAGCTTCACCGTGACGCAACCCCCCCATTCCGATGCGAGCTCGGAGCTGGTGGTGGTGTACGACCCTCTATTCCAGAACCGAGATACCGAACTCGTGTTTTGCGTTTAAGTTCTCAAACCCGATCCTGAAGCAGGACCGTAACGCGGAGGTGTGATGTGAATTTGTGAAATCAGAAGCCCACGTTCAAAGCAGGTGGTTGGAGGCGTGACTGACGGGAGACGAAGCAGGGGAGCGCAGCAGGGGAGACGCAGCTGCAGAAAGCATGCAGGAGGAGGAATGGATGTGACGGGACAGAATTCGGGGGAATCGGGTAGGACTATGAGAGATGAGATCATGGGACGCGCTGAATGGTTTCTTTTTTTTACTGTACAGAACTGTGCAGTTTCAGCTGGGACGCGATGCGCAGCGCGTTTTTGGGCTCAGCGCGTGTGGCAAGTACACCTTTATTTCTGTACTATCTTACTCGTAACAGTCTAAACTGCAATCCCACCTACCAGGTTCTCAGCATGACTCGCGTTGACACTGAACCTGATTGGCTGCAGTCTCAACGATATAGAACAGCCAAGTCGTATTTTGACAATCGCGAGATTCAGAGCTGGGACGTCGCGCAAGCAACTAATCTAGTGCATGAGCGAGATTCTGTAACCAGGTGTCAGTGCTTACTGTGGGTTTTCCCCTTCATGGTCCCGTTTGCCCGTGTTTCACTATTTCCTGCTTATAGGCTCAAGCCACGTGCAAAAAAGCGTAATATTAAATAAAACAACTGGTGTAAAAGTTCAATCGATGGAACTGGAACGGAGGCTAGGTAGAACGCGGTACAGTGCGATTTTGTTTGTTTCATAACAAATGTTCAGAGGTAAAGAGGTAAAACACCGGAGGTTGGTTGGGAGCGGAGGGTCCCTTCGATCGTACTTGCCACACGGCCTCGGCAGCACATTTGTTGGTTGGAGGAGCAGTTGTGGTTGGCAAGGACAAGACGTTACTCGTTACAATTTATGACAAGATAACTTGTTCATGATGCAGTAAACAAGCTATATATATAAATACATATATACACATATATGTTTCTGTACTGTCCATGAGGCAGTATTGTGCACTACGATCATGGTAAAACCTCAGAAGATACTAATTGACGTCATTCAATCCAACAACAATCACTACTGCAATCCTGAAACAAGGTCACGGACGGATTGGGAAAACAAGGCATAACATGGGTGTGTGTGAGTGATTCCAGAGTCACTACAGCACCGCAACCCGCAACCCACTGACACGTCTCACCATCCCCCACCCCGACTGCACCACATTCCAACTGCCCATGTGTGCCGGCAAACAATGAACCCCTTTGGATTGGGGTGTACAGTGCGAGGGCAGGGTGGCACCAGACACTTCCATGCAGCTTCGTCATTCGCTGCCCTGCCCCACACACAGCCAACTCGCCCTCACCGCCACCACCCCCTCAACCCTCAGCCGCAGGAGTGGCGTCCAGCCTCAGCCTCTTAGCAACTGCGCCCACGGAACCCCTTGCTTTTGAGTCGACTCAAAGGCGTGCAGTGCAGCCTCAGCCCATTGGCAGCAAAACGAAAGAGTTTCTCCTTGGCAGCCAGAGAACCCCTTGCGTTTCACTGCCAAGTGCGTCACAAGGCACGAGGCGCGCACATGTGTAATGAGTCTGTTTTTTAGCCGACTCAACAACTGCCAAGTGAGGCACGAGGTACGAGGCACGAGGCACACAACACGCGGCACAAGGCACGAGGCATGGGGCACGGGGCACAGGGCAGGAGGCACGAGTCACGAGACACGCACATGGTACGCCCAGGATCCCAAGGACCCCTCCCTCACCTTGCAGCCAACCTTATCAGTGGCGTTCAAGACGCACCCATCCCACTCAGCTTACATTTTGGGGTATAAAGCCCACCATTCCGACTCAACTTGTACTCGGGATATGTAGCCCACCTTTCCTACTCGGGAGTGAAACCCATCCTTCCCACTCAACTTACATTCGGGATTTGACACCCCCTCCCTTGCCTCACCTTCTAACGAGGGGTCTCAAACCCCCTCCCTTGGCTCCCCTTGTAACTTAGGGCCTAAAACCCCTAAGCTTGCCTCACGTCACAGTACTCTGCATGCCGCCAGGCCGCAGAGGAGCGTCACCTAGGCCACAGGGTCATTCACTCGGCCATGCCGTCATTCACTCAAACATGCGGTCATTCACTCGGCCATGCGGTCATTCACTCGGCCATGAGGTCAATCACTCGGCCATGGGGTCACACACTCGGCGGTGACGTGCGGTGACCGGCGATGACAGGCAGTGGCGGTGACCAGCAGGGGGGGTGATGGGCAGTGGGCGGTGACGGGCGGTGGCTGGTGGTGACGGGTGCCGGGGCGGTGATGGGTGGTGGGCGGTGATGGATGGTGACAGGCGGTGACGGGCGGTGGAGCGCAGTGCCGGGTGGTGACGGGAAGGGGCCGGTGATAGGCAGTGGGCTGTGATGGGCGGTGATGGGCAGGGGGGCAGTGATCGGCGATGACGGGTAGTGACGGGCGGTGACGGGTAGAGACGGACGGTGATGGGCGGTGATGGGCAGGGGAGCGTTATGGGTGGTGGGCAGTGACGGGCTGTGCCAGGTGGTGGCTGGAGGTGATGGGAGGTGACGGGCAGTGGCTGGCGGTGAAGGGCGGTGCGAGCGGTGGCGGGCGCTGGCAGGCGGTGCGGTGACGAGCAGTGATGGGCAGTGACGCGCGGTGATCGGCGGTGGGCGGTGACTGGAGATGACGGACGGTGGCGTGCGGTGATGGGTGGTGGCGGGTGGTGGCAGGTGGTGACGGGTGGTGACGGGCAGGGGGCGTTGAGAGGTGGTGGGCGGTGACAGGCGGTGATGGGCGGTGGAGGGCGGGTGATGGGCGGTGATGGGCGGTGGAGGGTGGGTGACGGGCGGTGGCGGGTGGTGGCGGGCAGGGACGGGCGGTTAAGGGCGGTGGCGGGTGGTGACGGGCAGTGACGGGCGGTGACGGCCGGTGATGGGCGGTGGCTGGCGGTGATGGGCGGTGACGGATGGTGACGGGCGGTGGCTGGCGGTGACGGGCGATGACGGGTGGTGGCGGGCGGTGACGGGTGGTGATGGGCGGTGACGTGCGGTGACGTCTGGTGACGGATGGTGACGGGCGGTGACTGGCGGTGGCGGGTGGTGGCGGGCGGTGACCGGCGGTGATGGATGGTGGGCGGTGTCGGGCAGTGACGGCCGGTGACGGGCGGTGGCTGGTGGTGACAGGTAGTGGCGGGCGGTGACGGACGGTGATGGACGGTGATGGGCAGTGGCGGATGGTGACGGGTGGCAACAGGCAGTGATGGGCAGCGACGGGTGGTGGCGGGCGGTGGCGGGCGGTGACGTGCGGTGACGGGCGGTGACGTGCGGTGACGGGCGGTGACGAGTGGTGGCGAACGGTGGTTGGGTGTGATGGGCGGTAATGGGTGGTGATGGGCGGTGATGGGCGGTGACAGGTGGTGATGGGCGGTGACGGGGTCTGAGACCCCCTCCCTCACCGTGTAACTTGGGGTCTGAAACCCCCTCCCTCACCTTATAACCTGGGGTCTGACACACCCTCCCTCACCGTGTAACTTGGGGTCTGACACCCCCTCCCTCACCTTGTAACTTGGGGTCTGAAGCCCCCTCCCTCACCTTATAGCTTGGGGTCTGACACCCCCTTCCTCATCTTATAAGTTGGGGTCTGAAACCCCTTCCCCTCCCTTGCCTCACATTATAACTTGGGGTCTGAAACCCCCTCCCTCACCTTATAACTTGGGGTCTGAAGCCCCCTCCTTCACCTTATAACTTGGGGTCTGACACCCCCTTCCTCATCTTATAAGTTGGGGTCTGAAACCCCGTCCCCTCCCTTGCCTCACCTTATAACTTGGGGTCTGAAACCCCCTCCCTCACCTTATCACTTGGGTTCTGACCCCTCCCTCACAGTCTGAAACCCCCTCTCTTGAACTCAACCCCCAGGGCGAAACCCCGGGGGATTGCAACCCGCCAGAGGAGAGGGGTACGGGCAGAGGAGGTAGAAAGGAGAGGGAGTGGCAAAGAGGGGGGTGAAAACTCCTTGGCAATATGAGAGCAAGACACGAAAGGGGGGCTGAAACTCCCAAGGTAAGGCGATTGAGAGGCGAGAGAGGGGGGTTGCAACCCCCAGGGTAGGGCGAACCGAAGGCAGAGGAGGGGGGTTCCTCAGCCCCTTGCTCGCCCTAACCTGGAAGGTTCAACCCCCCTCTCCCCCCCTGCCACTCGCTAGCCTTACCCTGCGGGCTCCAACCCCTCCCCCCTGCCTTGCGCTCACCTTACAATTGGGATATCACCGCCCCTCCTTTGCCCCTCACTCAACTCACCCCAGGGGATTCAGCCCCCCTTCTGCTCCCACTCTCACTCAACTCACAGCGGTAGTTGCAGACGCCTCCATTGCCGATCAGTCAGCAGACGCCTCTACTTATCCTTAAGGGTTTCAGCCCCCCATACTCATCTCCCTCCTCTCAACTTACACTGGTGGTAGATGCAGCCGCCCTCCATTGCCCCTCAACTAACTTCAATCAACTCACCCCGGGGGTTTCAGGCGCCCATATTCATCTCCGTCCACTCAACTTACACTGGTGCTTGCAGCCTCCCTCAACTGCCGCTCACTCTACTTACCCAGGGGGTTTGAGCCCCCCATTCTCCTCCCCCTCTCACTCAACTTACAATGGTGAAGGCAGACGCCCTCCTTTGCCCCTGCATCAGCTCACCTCAGCGATTTCCGGCCCCGTCCCCACCTCCCCCCCCCAGCACTAAGAGCAGCATGCACCCCACTCCCCCTTGACAACAGCACCCCCCATGGCTCTGCCTTGTGGTGCGAGGAGTGGCAGTGGAAAATGCACGGGCGGCCCAAGACTCAAATCCTGCGTACGAAAGCGTCGTAGGAGGGGACTCCCAACCAGAGCCGGCACGCACTTTCCATTATACGATACGCCAGTGTTGGTACTTGAGGAACAGCTGCTGTGTCACACATTTTCCACTGACCACACCCGACCAACAAGGCAGAAACCACATAGGGTGCTGCCCCTAAGGGAGTGAGCTGCATGCTTGCTCCTATGCTCCCCCCCCCCTTCCCACCTCCCCCCTCCCCCATCCCCTCACGTCAACACCCCCTTACCTCCCCCTACCATAGCCGAACCGAGCACCATGATGCTGCAGCCTGCTAAGGAGGGGGGAGGGGAAGGTGAGGGTGGGGAGTGCGCCTTCCTTTCCTCAAGGCGAGATGCTGCTGGATGAAGGGAAGAGGGAGAGGAGAGGAGGTGAGAGGGGGTGAGGAGAGGGGGTGGGCTCGATTCTCCTGCCCTTGCTCCGTAGCTCCTGCCCATGCTCCAAGGCTCCGGATACGCATTGTGTAGGAAGGAAGCAGAGTGGTGAGACGACAACCATACCTGATACCTTACCTGGTACCATACCCCTAGTCCTAGCCTGCCCGCTAACCACCCAGCCCCCACTGCTGCTGCTGCTGCTGTCAGCTGCTCAGCTTCCTCTGCTGCAGTCTTCAAATGACGCCAAGTGACCTGCTGGGGGCAGAAAGGGGAGGCAGAGAGAAAACCAGTTAGTGCAGGACTAACAACAGCCATAGCACTAGAAGAAACAGAAAGCCAGAGCAGGCAAGAGCTGGAAGGACAGTGAACAGACATCATCTGCTGCAGTAAGAGGGGTTGGTGAAACGAGGCTTACCTTGAGAGGCCACCCCACCCCAGATACTCTCCCTCATGCCAGCATTCCTCCCAGCTCCTCGTGTGCAGAGCAATGGCAGCATTCCTCCCAGCTCCTCGTGTGCAGAGCAACGGCAGCATTCCTCCCAGCTCCTCGTGTGCAGAGCAACGGCAGCATTCCTCCCAGCTCCTCGTGTGCAGAGCAACGGCAGCATTCCTCCCAGCTCCTCGTGTGCAGAGCAACGGCAGCATTCCTCCCAGCTTCCCGTGTGCAGAGCAACGGCAGCATTCCTCCCAGCTTCCCGTGTGCAGAGCAACGGCAGCATTCCTCCCAGCTTCCCGTGTGCAGAGCAACGGCAGCATTCCTCCCAGCTTCCCGTGTGCAGAGCAACGGCAGCATTCCTCCCAGCTCCTCGTGTGCATGTACCTGCACGGCCACAGGGGGGGTGTGTAAGGGAATGGCGGTATCGACCCCCACACCCCTCCCCACAACCTGCAAGGAGAAAACTGTAGAGCAGTAAGTAAGCGGCTAAGCATAGAAGCGTGAGGGGTATGCATGGGTGGGGTGGGGTGGCGGGTGATGGCAGCAGAGGGACAATTGCAGCTGCACTCGCCACATGGTGCAGACTCAGGGGGGATATGTATTTATAAGGGGGCTCTGTAGTAAGTCTCTAGAGAATTAGGGGTAGGCTTAACCTTGAGGGGGAGCCGGGGGGGGGGAGGGGAATACCTGGCTAGGGGGTCTACACCATGTGAGCAAGGCTGCTGCAAGTGCATTACTTTTAGGAAGCATGCAACATGGATGGAATGATGAGGCATGGTGTGGTGTGGGTGCATATGTGACCCTAAGTAAACAAAAAGCGAGTGAGAGCACTCAAGAGGGGAGAGAGTGGGTGAGAGTACCTATTTGCTGTGGCTGCTTGTCTGTGTGCTCCCAGCTGGCACCTCCAGCCCTCTCTGCTTCCCGCCACTCAAGCGCTTCAGGGCACCCACTTCCGCCCCCCTCCCCCTCCACCTCCCGTTCCCCTGCAGTCACAGCATCCACTGCACAGGCGCTTGCAGATCCGCCAGCAGAGGCCCTGCTGGGGGATTAAGGGGGGCAGGAAGGAGAGGGGAGAGGGAAGGAAGGGGGAGGGGGGGAGGGGGAGAAGGGGGGGAAGGGGGAAGGGGGGAGGGAGGGGGAGGAAAAGAGGAGGTAATTAAGTCCTGGAGAGTGGTATGCGGACGGGAACCGAGATGTGCAAGCGATGCAAACGGGAGTGGAGGAAGGGAGGGGGCCACTGGTGGAGGCACAGCTACAAGCCACAGACACCCAAAGAAATCTGAGGGGGTGAACCTGGGAAGGCTGTAAGGCTTTAGGGGGGCCGAACCTCAGGGGGTTTACCAGTGGAGGGGGGGGGGAGAGAAAGAGGGGGGGGGGGGGTCTGTGGCTTGTGGACAGGGGGCCCCAACCAGTGGCTTGATTTTGACAGAGCACCCGAAGCAGGACAAAAGACAAGGGTGAAACAATCAAAAGAGTAGCGCACAGCATGCAAGGCTCGGTCTAGGACAGACAAGAGAGGATACTTAGCTGGTGGTAAGTTGAAGCAGCACTCAGAGTGGCTGTCTCCTATCACCTCCCCTCCCCTCCCCTACTACTCCACTTCTCCCGCTGTGCTGCACTCTTCAAGGTCGTCTGCTGATGCCATGCCACATGCTAGGGAGGCGAGGGGGCAGCAGGGAGAGAGCACAGGAAATTTGCGATTAGAACGCGGGAGTGAAAAAGAGAAAAGATAATACATAACGTGCACAAGAAACACAACCCGAGAAGGGAAAGAGCAAAACTGAGACCAGCAGAGCGGAGAGGCTTACTTGTGAGGCTGAGCCCGCCCCCCCAGATACTCTCCCTCGTGCCAATCCGTTGCCGTCTGCCCTCCTCCCATCCCCACAGGCACCTGCACGGCCACAGGGGAGGGGCGCGGGGTAGCGGCGGTGTTGACCCCCACGCCCCTCCCCCCCACCTGCCATGCACACGACCAGCACGAGTCAGTGGGCGGTAAAGTGGCCAGGGGGTGAAGGCAGGGGGTGCATGCATGTGGGGTGAAGTGCAGCAGGGGAGGAGGGAGGGGGTCACTGGTGGAGGTCCAGCTACAAGCCACGGACCCGAGGGGGCTATACCTGAGGGCGGGTGGCTGAACCTGAGGGCTGTACCTGCTGTACCTGGGGGGGGGCTTACCTGCAAGGATGGGATCTGTGGCCTGCATACCGTGTTGCCACCAATGGCACCGTTTTGAGGGAGAAAACGACTGACAGGAACTGACTAGGTGACAGAGGCAAAGGAAACGACAGCAACAGGAGCACGGCAGGTGGGTGCATTGCATGCGAGGGTAGCTACGGGTTTGAGAGAAGGAACCACTTAGCTGATCGTTTGACCGAGGGAAGGACGCAGGTGAAGCAGCATGAGGCGCAATCGTCTGCCCGCTGCCAGTTGCGGTGCTGCCTCCCGCCGCTCCCTCTGTGCCCCGTGCTTCCCAGCAGCCTGAGAGAAGGGCATGGTGGGATGTGAGTGAGGAGCCGTGCCCAGCGGAAAGAGCCCCAGCAGAGAGAGCCTCAGTGGAACAGGCAGAGGGGGTGCAGAGCGGCCTTGCTCGACCTGCCCTTGGCTCTCAAGTGCTCCTTTGCTCCCTTGACTGACACCTGCTTGGGGGGGAGGGGGAGCCCATGGCACAGACAGAGGTGCAAGCAAGCAACAGCAGGGGAGGAGGAGAGAGGGGGGGGGAGAGGAAGAGGGGGGGACAGTGATGCAACGCATGCATGCGGCTAAGACGCCAACACTAAACTAGGCTATATCCCACTAGACAGGACACTATGCAAGCGGCACAAGAACCCTGTGCCATGGGCTGGGGAGGGGTGGGGTAGGAGAAGGGGGGGGGGGAGGTGAGGGGGTGGTAGTTGAGCAGGAAACTGGGAGTGGAGGGTTACATGACGCATGGTGCATGCATCATGGCAAAGAGACAATGGCAAAGCAAGGGCGTGCATGGGAGTGTGCATGCGAGTGGGCTGCGACGACTTAGCTTCAGACGAGGCGCTAGATGCGCAGGGTAGCCAACAAAATCCACTGCCTGCCATCAGGTGCTCGTCTGCTGCTGCCTGCCGCCACTCCCCCGGTGCCTCATGCATCCCAGCAGCCTATGAGGGGGGAGGAGAGGCAGGCACGGTGAGAGTGGGGAGTGGAGCAGGGCGGAAACAGCCTCCGCGGAACAAGCAGAGGGCATGCAGTGAGAGGGGCCTTCCTTGACTTGACCTGCCTGTCTGTCGCTGCCATCCGCTGTCCTGGAAGGAAGGGGGGAGGGCTGAGGGGGCGCAAAGCATCGACTGTGTGTGAGCATCGAAGCAAAGGAGGGCAAGAAACCGCTGGGCCGAAAGAGCATGCAGCAACACACCTGTGGTGGGGCGGGGAGAGGGGTGTCGCCCATGGCACAGAGGCGCAAGCAAGCGGAGGGAACTGGGGAGGGGGGAGGGGGGGGGGGGCAGGTGGGGGAGACAACGACGCGCATGCGAGCAGCTATGACGGTAGGACCGGACTGGCCTATCCCGCTAACGACGTGCAGCTATGGCGCTATGCAAGCGGCTCAAGCGCCCCATGCCATGGGCAAAGGAGGAGGCGGGGAAGGGGGAAGGGAAGGGGGGGAAGGGAAGGAGGGGAAGAGGGAATGTGAGATATGACGTGTGGCATGCATTGTGGGGGTGGGTTGGGGGGGGGGATGCATGGTGCAAGTTGCAGAGCAAGGGCATGGCAAGTACAGGCGAGCAGCAAGGGGATGTGTGCGGCAAGCCGTGGACTTAGCTTCAGGTGGGAGATGTAGAGAGCGCCGCCTCTCGTGGCAAAGAGAGAGCCGCCAGGAGAGAGCGTCGCCAGGAGAGAGCATCGCCAGCAGAGAGCGTCGCCAGGAGAGAGCGTCGCCAGGAAAGAGCGTCGTTTGTCGCCTCTCATGGCAACAACTGAAGCGCCTGGTCAGCGTCGCCAGCAGAGAAAGCGTTCCCCCGCCAAGGAAACATCAAGCGATATTAGCGCATCTCCGAACACTCCAAATGAGAACCGGAGCCTGGTCGTCAGAATTCGCAACTCCAAATGTCGGCGCTGCTATCAAATCGAGTAGATTCGCGCGGAACGAACACGTAAGGCGTGCGTCCGAAGCACTGCTTTCTGGCAGAAAGTCGTCGTCGCGGAATGCTAACGAAATCGTCAATTGCGATTGTGCGACAGTAACGAAAATCGTACGATTGCGCGTCGTGAAGTAAAGGCTGTCCACAGAGAGGACAGACCAGAGCGAGGAGGCTCACCTAGACACATCGTTGCTCGCCTGAACCGTCGGCAGTAAAAGCGTCGGCGAGAGATGATGCCGTTCGCTGCAGACGCGTCGCGAGCATGAAGGGTGTAAGGAGCGAGGTCACGTCACGGTGACGGCAGACAGCTCGTTCAAAAGACATCTTCTTGATCGGACACACTTTTCCTCAGGCCATCAATCAACCTGATCAAGTTATCAGCTTGGCGAAAACCGTCGGTTGGCGAAAGTCATCACTTGGCGGAAATTGTCGGGTGGCGAAAGTCGTCGCTCCACGAAGAACTTCAGCCTGACGAAACCCCATCAGGTTGACGAAGTCAAGCGGCACACTGGTCGCTTGTGTTGCCGCAAGCAGGGCCTCCACCGTGAGGCTGGTGGAGCGGGCGAGGGCGACGCAAGGCAACGCAAGGCGACGCTACTAGGTTGCGACACAGCGCGTTCGGATTGGAGCACGACGCCTGCGAGGGGAGTACAGTGAGCGCACACAAAGTGAGCGAGTGAGCCAAGAACCAAGTTGGAACACTACACCAGTACAATAGTAGCACGCGACCTTCTACAATGGTTCGCGCGGGACAGCGCGTGACGGCGCGTGATGGCGCGTGACGCCGAGTGACGCGGCGAAGTAAACGAAACAAGCAGCAGAGGCTCGTGGTGAGAGAGCGGGACAAACCTTGTCCGTCTGCCGGCATGTTCATCGCGCGAAGCATTCGCACGCTTCCGCCTCCCGTACGATTTCGATCGCGCACACGCCATGTCCGCGGCGTTGACGAATCGTCAGTTCAACTTGACGGAAGCGAGTTGGTATTCGCCGCGAGCACGAACGGCGGACAGCTGGACGCCACCACGAAGCGTTCAATGCTTGAATGCCGAACACGAAGCTGCAAGTCCGATAAGCAAAACGGAAGAGGAAGCGGAAAACGGATTTTAGACAACGGAAGGGAACACAAAAAAGGCGTGATTGACGAGCGAGGCGTCAACAAAAATGAATCCATGATCCTCTCCTACCTTCAAGGGAAGTTGCGTTTCTTCGTCGCGGCACCGCAGACTGACGACGCACTCCGCCGCCATTGACGCCGTCGTCGTGACGGTTGAAGCGAGCGATTGCGAGTCGCGACGCACGGCGACTCTGCGAGGTCGAGAGAGAATGACGTCTGAGTTTGAATTCGAACACTAAGGGAACATTCGCGTATCGTATTGCATAAGACACAGAAAGTGAACAGAGCAAGCACCCGAGAGGTTCGTGGTGTCCAACCTTGTCCGGCTTGTTGGCAAGTCCATTGTGTGTCATTTGCGCGCTTCAACCGCTCGCACGATTCCGATCGGGCTCGCTCGCGCCGTCAAGTCGCACGCGTCGCTCCGGCCGCACACAGACTGTCGAAGTTGTCGTCCGCGGCGTTGACGGAAACCCTCAACTCGGTTCACCGAGGCGAGTTGACTGTTCTTCGATACAAGCGAAGCTTTGAATGCCAGACGGAAACTGCACGTCCGACCTGCAAACGAAAGGGGAAAGGAAGCGAAAGAAAGCGAATTAGACACGCGGTGAGACAAGAACACCGCAAAGCATGATTGACGAGCGGATTGTCTGTTGTCGATTCTAGATACTCGGAGGAAACATGGATCGACAATCCTTTCTACTACCTTTAATGTGTTGGAGTGGTTCCGCCACCCACAACGGACTACTCGTGACTTGGGGTGACGAGGAGAGAAATGCGGACTTGGGGACGAGAAGGAACTAGGTAGCGGGCTGGGCCAACAGTGGTATAATAGCCTTGGAAGGTCCAGGGTTCGAATCCCAGTGTGCGCAGAGGAGGCGCCGGGTGCCCTGACGACCCCAGTGAGCGGGAGATTGTTGGAGGGGCACTGGGATCATCCTAGTTGAGTGTGGGAGGGCTACAGGTTCGTCCTGGGGGGTAATGGGTGCGCTACCCACCACAAAAAACATGCCCTTTTAACCCAGTCGGTAGCGGGCTGGGCCAACATAATGTCCATCCGCATAAGTGCAAAGAATTGAGTTGTCGTAGCGGCGGCACGATATACGGACGGCGCAGTAAAATCGTGTGAAGTCCTGGTGTCACGACGCAGCATCGTCGCGATCGCCGCCGACCGCCACAACCGTCGCGACGGAGGAATCTTGCCGGCAGCCGCGACCAGCGAGGAGATTCGCGGTCGAGAGCATCTGCCACAGGTTGGCTCGCTATCCGTTGCGACCGCCAGGATTGACGATGCCGAAGACGGAACTAGCGATGCCAACGACCGCCACGACCGTCGGAAGACGGGCGTCCGTCGCGACCGCCAAGATCGTTGGCGAGCTTGGGAGAAGTGATGCACGGTATGGATACAGGACACGTCTCGTAGTGCTTCTAGACAGTGGACGATGTGCGATAACGCAGAAGCTAAGCGGAGCCATACGGAGAGTTGATCAAAGGAAGGGAATCGGTTTGCCTAATCTGATCGCTCTAGTTCCGGAGAATTGCCCTAAGGAACTGAGCTGAATGTGGAATTGTGAGACGGTGGAATGGGCGCTGGAGGGAGCACGCGGTAAGGGAGGGTGGTTGAGTGACTCAATGGTCACCAGCGGTGGGAGGGATCCCAGCTCAGCGTTGCCAACGCAGGCCAAAAGCCACCGAGCAATAATTTTCTCAACGCCAACCTAGACGCCACTGCCTGGGCGGTTTCTCGCCGCGGAGTGTGACAAGAGCGATGCGCGGTGAATAAGGCGAACCGCACGGTTCTGTGGTGGACACCCAAGGCTCGGCAGTACGCGGCAAAAGAGCACCAACGGCTTAGAATTACCAGTGCAAAAGGCGTTTTGCGAGCCTTGATAGGAGGCTCGATAGTGGTTTGAAGTGTCCAGATGAATTGAATGAGGAACCGCAGCTCACTATTTTGAGTCGGATGCGATTCGAATCGGCGGACGGGCCTAACACTGGGCTCAATGCGACTCGAATAGCGGCGGCCATGGCTTGGTTTTTTTGGGGTCACACTAAGGATTCAGAAACGGGGCAGGCGAAAATGGAGCAACAACAGAGGGAGTTTTGGAGGGAAAAGGAGGGGATTGGATGAAGAGCGGCGTACGCGGTACTGCAACCCGCTTTATACAACGAGAGACGTGCATTATGTCGGTATATATCCTTTCTGCTGAACAACAGGAAGATATTATGAACACTGCATACACACACGCTATTTCACATCTATGAAATTTGATAGAACATGAAGCTTTCTAAGTTTACGAGTACATTGTGAATACTACTTTCCTGGGAGGAAATGCAGGCGGTCGCACGTGTTTCCATTATAGCTGGTAACGCAGCTTGGTTCGCTTGTTATACACCCAGAATGCTTATACAGTTACCGGGGCAATGGGAAGTTGGGAGAGACAGGGGGAGTATGTCACCAGATGCTGTATATCGGATTGCATGTCACGACTCGGGGAGATAGGCCTCCCTCCCACCCCGTGCGATTCAAGAATTAGGGAGCTATAGCCTCGTGCATGACCTCGTCCCATGCAGGAAGAGCCAGCAGCAGACCGCCGCATTCTGAGGTGACGTCCCGCCGCGCGCAACCGGCAAGATGCCCGCCTCCCCGCCGTCCGTCTCCCCCCATCCTTCCGCCGCCCCCTCTTCTTCCGCTTCCCCTTCCCCCCAGTTTTCACCCCCCGTTTCCCCCCTTTTCCCCGCGCCTCTATGTATCCACGCTTGGTCGTTAGTGCTCTCGCTGCTTCCCCCGCGCGACATTGCCCACGCCGCGCTCGCGTACTCCTCCCTCGCCGCCGCCGCCGCCGCCGTCACCGCCGCACGTGCCGCCGACGCGACGGGCGGCAGCGAGCCGCGTGCCGTCCCGTTCCTTGCGCCGGATCGCCAATCAAGGAACGGAGATCGCGCACTCCCTGCCCCTGCGGAGCTTGGGGCCGCCGCACGGACCTCCTCCGCGTCCGTCCCGCGCTATTCGTACTTCCGCTATTGTCGCACGAACGTGCGGCTCGCGGCGTCAGACGCGTCGTCCTTTCCGTCCCTGCTGCTGCGCCCGCCGGTAAACCCGGCGGAAGCGCCGCAAGCAGGAGGACCTTGCACCCAAGCGAGCTCCAACTCCCTATGTGCCTCGTCGCGATCTACATCTCTCCCGCCGTACCCGTATCCGCAGCCGCCCTGGTGGTGGGGGGTGGTTCCAAGCTACCTGCAGCGCGCCGAGCGGACGCAGCAGCCCATTGAAGCGTCGCAGCAATGGCAGCAGCAACGCGGGGGTGGGCCGCCGCAGCAGCAGCAGCAGCAAGTAGGCTTGGAGAACGGGGAAGCGCGGACGCAGGGACGGGGGCAGAGCGATGCGCGCAAGCGGAAGAGGGAGGTGGAAGCGGAGACGGAGGGGGAGGCGGAGGCGGAGGAGGCGGAGGCGGAACAGCGGGCGCGGGCGCAGCAGGCCCTGCAGCCGCATGCGCTAGAGGACGCGCTGACGAGCCTGCTGCCCGCGTTTTCCCCCCGCGCGCGGAAGGGGGAAGGAAAGGGCGCATGGCCTGGCTGTGACTGCTGTACACGCGGTTATACAGGGGGAAAAGGGGAAGAGAGCGCGGGGGGGGACGAGGCGGGGGAAGGAGGAGAGGTGCAGCGGCGAGGGAAGGATAGAGAGAGGGGAAGGTTTGGGGGTGAAGCTGGTGCTGCTGCTGGTATTGAGACGATTTTTGAGGCGCCTCAAAAAAGGTTTGGGGGTGAAGCTGGTGCTGCTGCTGGTATTGAGCCTGCGTGTGATGGCAGTCGTGCTGGTTCGAGCCATAGGTGCTGTAATCGTGTCCACTGCCCGTGCGCCATGCCCCTGCGATCCGGGGCACAGCAAGGGGGAAATGCAGGTGCGGCAGAGGGAGGCGGGGGGGAGGAGGGAGGTGGAGAGAGGTGGGACGAGGGGGAGCAGGGAGCGGATGACGAGGAGGCAGGAGACGCGGATGTGGTGTATGAGTGTGGGCCCTTCTGCTCCTGTGCTCGTCAGCAAAGCACAGGAGCCGCAACCTGCTCAGGCGCCTCCCCAGCAAATGGTTCAGTAAAGGCACCGAGAGTAGCAGCAGCAGCAAGCTCTACTGAAGCATTAGCATGTGTGCACTGCCCCAATCGCAGCAGTCAGCGGGGCTTGCAGTGGCGACTAGCCATAGTGTGGAGTGACGTCAAGGGATGGAGCCTCGTGGCACAAGAAAGGATTCCGGGTCGTTCTCTCATCTGCCAGTATGCTGGTGAGTAGTCGTCCTTTGAGGCCTGCTGAAATCAGTGAGCGGGGCTCGCAGTGGCGCCTGGCCGTAGTGTGGAGTGACGTCAAGGGATGGAGCCTCGTGGCACAAGAAAGGATTCCGGGTCGTTCTCTCATCTGCCAGTATGCTGGTGAGTAGTCGTCCTTTGAGGCCTGCTGAAATCAGTGAGCGGGGCTCGCAGTGGCGCCTGGCCGTAGTGTGGAGTGACGTCAAGGGATGGAGCCTCGTCGCACAAGAAAGGATTCCGGGCCGTTCTCTCATCTGCCAGTATGCCGGTGAGTCATTGAGTTGGCTTTGCTGCATGTTGGCGAAGAGAGCGCATCCCTTGAGACGGATGTCGAAGCGTCCAACAATCACAGGACTAAATTCCTTTGTTCGCTCATTAATTCGCCAGTGTGCCACAGCCCACAACCCCCAAACCTGCTCCCTTTCCTTCTGAAACGTCTCCATTTCCCCCACACGCCCCCTCCCTGTCACCCGTTCCCCCCACCCCCCCCCTCTTTCGCTCCTCCCTGTTCACCAGGGGAGCTGCTGACTCGAGGTGAAGCAAGTGCGAGGCAAGCGGTGTATGATGGCATTGGCACAGGGGCAATGGCAGGTGGAAGAAATGGGGCGAGAGAATCTAGGGGAAGTCGAAACTACCAGCACCTGCAGCAGCAACAGCAGGAAAAGGAGCAGAAGCAGGAGCAGGAGCAATCTCACCCCCACCACCAGCACACACCCCATCCCCTCCCCGCCCCCCGCGCCCCTCCCCGCTTCCTCTTCACTCTCCGAGAGCACCTGCCGTCAGGCGCAGTCCTGCGCACGCACATCGACCCCTCGCGCATCGGCTCCCTGGGCCGGTTCATGAACCACCAGTGCGGAGGGGGCAATGTGGCGCGCGTGGTGGTGAGACAGGCTGGCTGCCTGCTGCCTGCTGTGGGGCTGGTGGCTCGCAGGGAGATAGCATCAGGGGAGGAGCTGACGTTTAGCTATGGGGATGTGGGGGAGGGGGAGGGGGAGGGAGAGGATGGGGAGCGAGAGGATAGGAAAGAGGGTGGGGGGGATGGGGATGAGGGTGGGGGAGGAGATGTGGAGGGGGTTCAGGGTAGGAATCTGGAAGGGCATGATGGGGAGGAGAGTGTGGGAGGGGAGGGTGAGAGGGGGGGAGGGAAGCGTGGTCAGATGAACAGTTGGCGACAGTGGGTGAAGCTGAGAAAGTGCTCCTGTGGTTCTAGTCGGTGCCAAGGGTACTTGCCTTGTGATGACGTACCGTGAATCCGTGGTTGCCAGGTTGCGCATTCTAACACTTCACAAAAGCGCTTATTGTGCAATGCGTGGTGGTGGTTGTAGCTTACTGTGGTCGCCTAGTACGAATAACAGGTCTGCACATGTCTAATAACTGCGCAAAAGCTGCAAAGCAAGAATAGCCTTAAGTTCATATTTACTGTTTGCACAGTACCACATACATATTGCGTCAATCAATCAAACCCTACAACTGCAACTCTACAGCCGCAATTCTACAACCCAGCTCAATTCCATACACACGGTCATGCTAACTGCTAGAAACCGCTCAACAGAAGTATATCCACGGGAGACTGGTAACAACAATCACAATGTGACCCATGCTCTCAATTCCCCCTACTATCCCCCCCCCCCTACTATCACGGAACTTGCATATCCCCCATCTGTCACCCTCCCCTCCCCCTCCCCTCCCTCCCCTCACTCCACACTGGACCAGAGCCAAAACTTGCGTATCCCCCGCCTGGACCAGTGTTGGAACTTGCATATCCCCCCCCGCCTGCAGTCTTGCCCCTCCCCTCCCTCCCCCTCCCCTCACTCCACACTGGACCAGTGCCGGAACTTGCATATCCCCCGCCTGCCCTCCCCAAACGAGGCACGCACAGACGTGAGCAGCGTAGCCACGTTAGCATCACCCATGAGCTCACTCGCCTCCTGGTGGGGGCGGGAGGAGGGGGGGGGGGGGGGGAGGGACAAATCAAGTTGAGTTGAATAGCACTACACACACAGACGTGAGCAGCGCAGCCACGTTCGCATCGCCCATGAGCTCACTCGCCTCCTGATCAGGGGGGAACGAGGGAGAAGGGGGGGGGGGAGGGAGGGGGGAGCATCGCATGAGCGCGCATGACTCAAAACACAGAGCGTAACGCCTTGAAAGGTTCAGTTCAAGCTCACCAGCTGGTCGAGTCGGTCTTCTAGGCCGGAGGAGGCATCGACAGAGAAAAAGAGCTGCTGGTAGGCGCGCCGGATGTTGCGCACCTGGTGGTGATGGGGTTGAGAGGGGTGAGAGGGGCGAGAGGGGTGAGAGCAGTGGCAGGGGTGAGGTAAGTGGGGAAGGGTGAAAGGACATGATTCACCAGAGAGAAAGAGCAGCTGGTAAGCACGACGGATGCTGGGATGTGGGCCGCACGTCAGAAAGAATGGAGGGAGGGTGACAGAGGATCAAATGCGTGAGGAGTCTATTTTTGAGGCGTGAGGAGTCTATTTTTGAGGCGCCTCAAAAATAGACTCCTCAGAAAGAATGGAGGGAAGGTGACAGGGGATCAAATGCCCCCCGGAGTGACAGAACGAAAAGAAGAATGATGAGGGTCAAACGCCCCCGGGTGCAACACCCAGTGTCCCACGCCCAGTGTGCAACGTCCAGTCTGCAACACCCAGGCGACCCACCTGGTCCGTGGAGAAGCCGCAGAGCCTCTAGATTGAGTCCCCCCAGCTCGGATTCTTGAGGCGCCTCAGAGCTCGATTCTCAGACGCCCAGGCAACCCACCTGGTCCGTGGAGAAGCCGCAGCGCCTGAGCCCCTCCAGGTTGAGCCCCCTCAGCTCCGCCCGATCTCCCGCCACCATGGTGTATGTGGGCACGTCCCGCACCACCTGCGGGGATGGGGGAGGGTGGGGGGCCGCGGGGAGGAGAGAAGATGACAAGATAGAGGTTGGGCAGAAGTGATTGAGCAGACGATTGAGGATGGGGGAGGGTGGGGGGCGGCGGAAGTGATTGAGCAGACTAGAGGTGATGCAAAGCGAGTCCCCTCAGCTCTGCCCTGTTTCTCGCCACCCCAGGTGAATGGGGAAAAGGGAGGAAGAGGGTTCAATTGGTGCAGGTGCCTCGCATCCAAGGAGGCAAACATGCCATGAGGCAAGGGGGGTTAAGTGCGCAGATACAAATACTCGGCACTGTCAGGTGCGACTAAAAAATCGACTCATTACACACGGGTACTCAGCACTGTCAGGTGCTTCAGGCTTCCTTCGGCTGGAAACCAAGGGGTGAGGGTTCAAATGATGCGGGTAGCATGCATCACTGACGCCCATGCATGGCTGACGCCCATGCAGGGCTGACGCCCATGCATGGCTGACGCGTACACATTGATTTTTGAGTCGACTAAAAAATCATCAAAAGACGCCCATGCATGGCTGACGCGGACACACCATGGATCCCCCTGCCAGGAAGGAGTAAGAACCGATGTGGCAGAACTGGTGCACTGCCACCGCCCCACCCGTATGCACAAAATCCTGCGAGGGGAAACGGAAGAGAGGGAGAGGAGAGGGGAATGGGTGAGGAAGTTAGGATTTCTGAGACGTCTCAGAAAGAGAACAGCAATGGAGTTCTGAGACGTCTGAGAGCGAGAAAGGGGAATGGGGCAGGAAGTCAGAAGGAACGGGGGGGGGGGGGGGGGCGGGGGGGGAAGGGGGGGAAACGGACAGGAGGAAGGTTGGGGAGACGGACTAACACACAGAAACACACATGTGTGGCAACATGTCCAGAGACAACAAGGATGGCCAATGAAGCGCCAACACACACACACACACACACACACACAACGGAATATGCAGAAACAAACGAATTCCACACACGCATCCACCCATCACGTCACACGCATCCACCCATCACGTCACACGCATCCACCCATCACGTCACATGCATCCGCCCCACACATACGTGTAAGACCACATGGCCCCCCAGAAGCGTGCCGTTGGCCAGGATGTTGCGATTGCCCATCTTGCAGTCATGCGCCACGTGGCACGATCCCATGATCAGATTGTTGTCACCGACTAACTGCGAGGGACAGAGGGACAGCGAGAAACAAGGCTCTTAAGAGAAACGATTGAGCGAGAAAGAAAGGCCAGAAGGGGAGGAGGGGTGGGGAAAGGAAGGTGGAGAGGAGAGAGGAGAGGAACTGGAAGCGAGGAAAAGGGTACATTGTAAAGACCTACGTCACCCAAGTGGTGTTCACTCGGACATTGTAAGGTGGAAGGTACAACGTGAAAGGAGAGAGGGAAGGGGGTGTTGGAGGGCGGGAGGGGGTGGGTGGGGAGGACCAGGAGAAAAAGAACAAAGGTGAGGAAAAACAAGATGTCGGTTCGGTTTGGTAAGGTAAGGTACGGTAAGGTGGATTCTCACAGTGGCGTCGTCTGGCATGGAAGAGCGGTGGATCTGCGAGTGCTCTCTGATGTCGTTGTGTGAGCCCAGCACCAGGAAGCACTCGCTGCCCTCCTGGGGGACAAAAGAGCATGAGAAGGAAGAGTGCACAGGATGGGATGGGATGGGATGGGATGGGACGGGATGGGATGGGATGGGACGGGATGGGATGGGATGGGACGGGACGGGGTGGGGAAGGAGCTGACTTTTGAGTCGACTCAAAGCTCTTGCAGGAAGTTGGGACATGATCCCAGAGAGCGATTTTTGAGTCGACTCAAAAATCACTCAAAAATCATTTTTGAGTCGACTCAAAAATCACTCAAAAATCACTTGCAGGAAGTTGGGACATGATCCCAGAGAGCAGCAGTGCTTGAGGAGTCGGAAGCACTGCTGGGATCATGTCAGAGAGTAGCAGTTCTCTCTGGGATCATGTCCGAAGCACTCGCGGCCCTCCTGCAGGATGGAAGAACGGATGGGATGGGATGGGATGGGATGGGATGGGATGGGATGGGATAGGATGGGATGGGGAACGAAGAACAGGCCTAAACAAAAAAAGAGAAGGACGGAAAGATAAATTAAGAGATTTCACAACCTGGAATGGAGAGGCACTACGGGCAGCGGGAGGGGGGTTTGACGCGGGTGTTTTCGTATGTCATTGTGTGACGTGAACCCATCACCAAACCCCCCTTGTCCCCCTGTCCCCCTGTTCTGCCCCTCCCCTGCTCCCTTGCTCCCCTGCTCCCTTACTCCCCTGCTCCCCTGCCCCTCTCCCTGTCCTCCCTGCACACTTTCCGCCCCTCCCCTGCTCCCAGCCCTCATGTCTCCTCTCACCCCCGATTCCAAGCCTCTCTCTCCCCTTTTGACTTGTACTTGAGGTCTTGGCACTTTAACTCCGCAACCCCTCCCTGCACTGCACATACGTCCTGATCACCCTTGATTTTGCAGGGTGTTTTTTAGAATTCTCAAAAACTCCCTGCACTGCACATACGTCCTGAGCACCCTCTTCCCTCTCCCGCCCCCCATTCCCTCCCCCCTCCTTCCCCCCCCACCCCCTTCCTTGTAAATTTACCCTCTCAGCTTGTACTTAAGGTCTTGGCACTTGACCTGCACACCCCTTCCCCGCACCCTTCCTTTCCCCTCCCCTCTGCATTCTTCGTCTCAGTCGACTCAAGAACGCACGCACCTTTTACTTATGGTCTTGGCATTTGGTCCCCACCCCACACCACACCCACTCCAGGTGTATTTTGAGCCGAGTTTTGAGGCGCCTCAAAACTTGAGTCGACTCAAAATGCACCCACTCCCTGCACATACCTCCTGTCCGTCCGTTCCCCTTGCCCCCTGTAACCTCCGTCTGAATCGACTCAAAAGCGCTCTCACCTTTTACACTTGGTCCTGGCACTTGACCCCCACGCCCAAACATGCACTAATGAAGGTGTTGTGGGTCTGATCCCCACCACCGAAACATGTTTGCTTGTTGATTCAATTCAAGGGCCGGTTGAGGAACTTTTTCGAGTTCACCTATTTTCTGAGGGTACAAGTGTTTTTCTAACTGTCAGTCTTTTGCTAACGCGACCTTCCTACGCTGCTGCTACTCTTCCATGACAACTAATCCCTGGTCCTGGCACTTGACCCCCACGCCCATTCCCTGCTCCACCCTCTCCTCCCCCCCCCCCCACCCCCCTTTTCTTTCCCACCCTCCCTTCCCCCCCCCCCCCCCCTGTAAGCTTCCCCTCTCACCTTGTACTCGAGGCCTTGGCACTTGACCCCCTGCCCCTTCCTGCCCACCCTCTTCCCTCCCGCAACCCCCCCCTCCCTTCTCCCAACCCCCCCAGCAAGCTTCCCCTCTCACCTTGTACTTGAGGTCCTGGCACTTGACCCCCACAGTGCCGTGATATCCGATGCTGTTGTGGTTGCCAAATGAATTGTACAAGAGCTCTTGGAACTTGACTTATAACCCTCTCCCTGCACATACCTCCTTCCCGCCCTCTTACCCCCTTCCCCCTGTAAGATTCCCCTCTAACCTTGTACTTGAGGTCTTGGCACTTGACCCCCACTGTGGCGTGATACCCGATGCTGTTGTGGCTGCCTATCACTGTCGTGCCCGGCAGGTCCGCCCCCACCACTGCCCCACTGGGAGGACAAAGAAATTCAGGGTGGAAGGGGCGGGATGGGGTAGAGGTGAGGGGTCAAGCTATGCCCACTGTGCCATGATACCCGATGCTGTTGTGACTGCCTATCACCGTCGTTCCCGGTAGGCCCGCCCCCACCACTGTCCCACTGGGAGGACAAAGAAATACAGGGAGGAAGGGGCGGGATGGGGCAGAGGAGTGGAAGAAAACGAGGGGCTTCGGGAATTCATATTGAGCGGCCTAGGAAAGAGGTGCGCCAAAACAAGGAGGGCGTAGAGGGGTCCAGCTAGGCCCGCAAAGGCTCAACGTCCGATGCTGTGTTGTGCCTTGCTGTGCCTTTGTGGACGCCAGTATCTACGCCCCTCTATTCCCAATAGGAACACCCACAGTCCCCTCCCCTCTCCTTTCCCTCCCCTCTTTGAGGCGACTTCTGAGGCGCCTCAAAAGCTAGGCCCACAAAGCTCAACGACCGATGCTGTGCTGTTGTGACCACCTATCACTGCTGTTCCCAGTAGGAACCCCCACATTTCCTTTCCCCCCCCCTCCCCTCTTTTGAGGCGCCTCAAAAGCTGGGCCCACGAAAGCTCTACGACTGATGCTGTGCTGTTGTGACCGCCTATCACTGCTGTTCCCAGTAGGACTAGCCACATTTCCTTCCCCCACCTATTAACCCCCCCCCCCCACCCTCTCACTCTCACTCTCACCTCATCAGAGTACAAAATTCGCCAATCACTGTGTTCCCGGCCACGTGGCAGCCTGGCAGCAGCTTGCAGCCCCGCCCTATGGTCACATGGGGGCCAACAGTGCAGAACGGCCCGATTTCCACTCCCTGGCCGTGCAATGGGTCGAAATGCAGACAGGGGAGGAGAGGGAGAGCAGGGAGCAGTGGCAGGCGGGTAGGGGGGTTTTGAGGTGCCTAAAGAATTCAGCCTGGCCGTGCGATTAGTAGATACGCAGACAGAGGACGAGAGGGAGAGATAAGTGGGCGCTACAACAGCGCAACGCGATTCACGTGAAGACAGAAACGATCGCTGCTGTTCCTGAGGCGCCTCAAAAATAGACTTCCTGTGCAACTATGTCATACAACAGCCACCTGGCGCAAGTAGCACCATTACACTCTCAACCATCCTCACCAGTACAGTCACCTTGCCTTACCCCCCTAATCACAGCGTCTAACTTATGAGTCGACTTACCAACAGCCGCCTGGCGCAAGTAGCCCCAGTACCCTCTCAGCCACCCTCGCCAGAGCAGTCGTCACCTCGCCTTACCCGCTAGTCATAGTGTCCGACTTTTGTGCCACACCTCCCAGAATAACTTCCTCGCCTCACCTCCCTAATCACAGCGTCTGGATGCACAACCGCATTCGGATGAATAACGGGTGGCGCGTCCGCGATAACCGCTCCGCCAGCCGTTTCCGCTATCCCCGCTGCGGGCCCCGCCACCGCCCCCGCCACTCCCGCCCCCCCGGACCCTCCGCCAGGCCCTCCGCCGACCCCTCCGCCCATGTGCCCAGCAGCTGCTGCCGCTGCGGACGACTGGGATGCGACGGGTCCTGTCGCACGGGCGGCAGAGCTCATCCCACGGCTCTGCTGCAGCGACTGCCGCAGCAAGAGGCTCTGCGACTGTGCGACTCGGAATTGCAGCTGGTCGCGCATCCCAGGAGAAACGCGGAGGGAGGAAGCTCCCGCGGGCGATCGAGATTCGGCGGGGGAAGGGCTGCCGCCAGGGTGATAGGCGCAAGCAATGCGCCCCATCTGCGGGGAACGCGCGGAGTCGGGGGAAGCGGAAGAAAAAGACGGTCAGAATGCTAAGTTTTTCGTGGGAAAAAACGGAGGTTGAGAGGCAAGCATCGCAAACAATCAGCGGCGGGAAAATGGAAGCTTGGGGAGCGAATAATTGGGAAATCGCTGACTTTCTTAGGCTTTAACAGGTGTTCGATGTCGGACCAGAGACAGGCGCTCTCTCACCGCAAGACGGGGCCTTACCACCGAGATTCTTAACACCTAATTCCTTGCGCTAATCAACCAAAACACCGTATGGCGAAAGAAGGGGATGGACGATTGAAGCATCATGGCGACCGCTGGGGAGAGTCCGAGTGAGTGTACCTGCGATTGAAGCATCATGGCGACGGGCGACGAGTGCGACGACCACGATGCTTGCGACGACGACGACGACGACGACAACGGCGGATTTGATACCCGAATGCCCGTTGACCTGCTATCAACCGGTTGCCCTCCTCCTCCTCTTCCTCCCACTACTCCTGCGCCTCCTAGGCCTCCCAAGCTGAGTTCCGCAGCCAATGCACCTCCGTAGCAGGAATCTAGAACCGATGCCTCGCTGCGATCCTCACAGCCTGGAAATTCAACCTTTTCTATCGGAATTTCTCCGCAAATCCAGTGCTTGCTGGTCTCAGCGTTTATCCCAGGAACACATTCACGCCTTTCCCCGCGCCGCTCTTCCGCTGCTGCTACTAATAGAGCTTCCGCTGCTCTAGGAAACTCTGCCTCAGCTGTTCCTGTAAAAACTCCTCCTTGGTCGCGCGATCCGGGAAATGCGGGGACAGCAGGGACGCGAGCGGCCCACCGCTTCGCAAGGCGGAATCTTTGTGGGACGTGAAGGAGCAGCAGCGCCGCACCGAAGAGATTCTCGCGCATGCCCTTGGGCCGCACAGGCACAGGGATGGCGGCACGCGCGCAGTAAGGAACGGCCGCAGCAGCAGAAAAAACAGCAGCAACGGCAGCAAAAGCAGCAGCAGCAGCAGCAGGCAGGCAGTGCGAGGCTCTTCGCTCGACTTGAACGCCACCAGATGCGCTTACGAGTTTACGAAAGCAGTGACAGTCTTGAAAACCCGTGCCACATAAAAAATCAGCCCAACAATTTAGGGCGACGACGGCCAGGCTTTGGTCGCTTGCAGCTGTCGGAAAAGAAATCCGAAGCTTTGAACCCCAAGTTGCGTGGGGGAGCGGAAAGGGGAGGAGGGTGGGGGGGTCAGGGGGAGGGGAGAGAAGGGGACGGGGGAGAGAGGGTGCAGCGCAGAGCGAGGTTGGGCGGTTAGGGGGGAAGAATGGGCGGGTTTGTGTGATCGGTCGGAAGGAATCTCGCGTGCGCACGGGGAATCAAGAAAGGCCCGACGCGGAAAATTTCGCTGGCTTGGGCGGAAGCAAGAGCACCCACCCCTTACGTTGGGAGGACTAGCGGGCCGCGCCACGTCCCTCGTGCATGGTGGACGAATGAGAGCGTGTCTCCAGGGCAAGGGTCCCTGGGCAAACCCATCCCAGTGTTCCCGCCAATTTACAGATATAACCTGGCCTCTTACTAACAGGATAATTACCCTTAATGTGAAGAAATTAAGAGTAACGTTTCCTGTGATTCCGTATTTTTGCGGTGCGAATTTTTCCCGAATCCGTCCAGCTTACGGAAACAATTTCGTGTGACTCCTTAGCTTAACGAGCTATACTCTTTTAAAAATCCGTACGGGCTATACTTGTAGTAGGGCAATCTACAGGGAGAAGCGATCCCCCACCACAGCCCCCCATTGCCCACCGCTCCCCCCATCCCCCCCCCCCCACCTTCGATTCCTTGCTAGCCGAATTTGTAGCGGCCGATTCCTTTCGGTAATGGGTAATTTGTAGCGGCCGATTCCGTCTGCTAGCGGGTAATTCAGAGGCGATTCCGTCCCCTTCCGAAATACCCTGGGGCTTGGCGAGAGGCCTGGACATAACTCGCGTAGAGACACTAAGAGCGACAGTGGGCATTCGCTGATTGGCTCCGTGTTTTCGCGTCTCTCGAGATTGGTTGCCTTGCGATTTGTTATGCAACACAGAGCAGGTTGTGATTCAGCAACACGTCATCTGTCAATAACGAGATAATGGTGAGCACATATCAACAGAAACCTTTCACACGCATCCCTATTATAGCATGCTACCTCAAAATAGAGCATCTAGATACCGAGGGAAGTGTCTCGAGGGGGCAATCAACTTCATCAGGCATGTAGTCTATGCAAGGGGAAGAAATAATTTAGTCCCAATTAGCTTCTCTTGGCAATAGAGTTAGTCGTCGACCCACTGACACTCCCACCCAAAGTCACCCTTGACCACATCCCCTCCCCAACCACCACACCCTTCTCCATCCTTGTGTTATTGCTTGCAGTTGACTCCATCAACACCTCAACTCCCCCCCTGCTTCCCTGCGACACACCACCACTCTTCACACCACTCCTCACTCCACTCTTCACACCGCTGCTACCCTCCCCCTTGCCCCCCTTCCCAACTCCAGTGTCACCACTGGCAGTTCCTACAGCACCGGAATCCACAGCATTGGGAGGAGCCATAACCATCCCTCCTCCCACACTCCGATGCCCTTTACTCATCCCCGACCGAACATCAGGTGAGCACGACCGCACAGGCAGAATCTCCTCGCCTGCATTCCTCACCTCCCCTGCCCCCACCACCCACTCCACACCTACACCCCTACTGCCTGCCCGCCCCCTACTCCCTGCTTCACTACCCGTAGACGGTACTGCCCTCAGCGCCCCACTCGCTGCAGCCATGGGGTCGTTCTCCTCTAAGCTGATCGTCCCCGACCTGCCTTCCATATCATGGAACCCTAAGCTGGACGCCGTGCTCTCAGTCACCCGTATCGCCTTCCTCACTCGCTTCTGCTTCTTGGCCTTCTTCTCCCTCTTCCCAGTCTCTCCGGTGTTCTGACTGCTGCCGTGGCTCGCGTGGCTCGCATGGCTCGCTTGGCTTGCAGTCTCTCCCAGGGAGCCTGTTTCCCCCATGCTTTCCACACATGACGCACACTGGCTGGTCTCCTTGGTGCTACCAACAGCTGCTGCTACTGCTGCTGCTACTGCGTTTCCGGCTCCGGATGCTGCTGCTGCGGCTGCAGGTGCAGCCACGCCCTCTGTTGCTGCTGGCACTACTCCTGCACTTGCAGATGCAGTACCCGATTCCGCGGGAGCAACAGAGACAGCGGCATCACCCACTTTTGCAGTAGCAGCAGCAGAAGCAGAAGCAGCAGGAGCAACGGGAGCAACAGGAGCCGTCATAAGAGCGGCGGAAAGAGCAGGAACAAGGGCAAAGGCACCAGAGGCATTGTCATCGCATGCAGCACTAGCCACACCTCCAAACACTCCCCTCCTTCCTTCCCCCACTCGTGCTCGACCATAGGCTTCCGCACCAGGACTCTCCACAGACTCCCGCTGCTGCTGCTGCTGCTGCTGCGCCTGTCGAAGCTGGTTTCGCTGCATCACCTGCTGGACGTGTTCGCTCGCCTGCCTCTCTGCCTGTCCAGGGAAGTTGAAAACCAGGGACGAGGCAAGAGGGCTCTCGCACATCTCTGGAAGGGGCACAGGGAAGGACCCCGGCGTCCCATATGCTGCTGGCGGCGTTGCTACTGGTGCTCCTGCTGGGATTCGCACTGCTGCTGCTGCTGCTGCTGCTGCTGGGATTGGAGTTATGAAGCCTGAACCTGGCTGTCTGCACGCTGCTGCTGGTGTGCATGCAGCTGCTGCTGCTAGCGTGCATGCCATAGGCGTGTCTGGTATACCAGGCTGTGTAGACAAGGGAAGCGGAGTCCCTGCTGCTGCTCCTGGTGTGCCAGCTAACACAGCTACAGAAGCAGCAGCTGCTGGTGTTGCTGCTGCTGCTGCTGCTGCTGGCAACGCCACCCATGCAGGGCTTTCAGGGGGTACGAATCTTGGTGCTTGCTCATCTGCAGTAGCAGCTGGAAAAGAGGCCGAGGCAGAGGCCGAGACAGAGGCAGTTGCAGGGGCAGAAGAAAGAGCAGCAGCAGGTGTAGCGGCAGTGGAGGGAGACAAAAAAGCAGTACCAGCAGCAGCAGGAGGAGCTGCAGACCCAACAGCAGAGGCAGCAGACACGACCGACGACGACGTCGATAGCGCCTTGGCAAACGCACCACCACCACCACCACCGCCACCACCACCACCAGCAGACGCAGAAGCAGAACTAGATGCAGCTAGCGCACTGCTACCAGCAGGCTTCACCTCGTCCCCATCAACATTCTGCCCCACTGACTCCCTCAGTGGACAAACCACAGGCTTGCTTGGTGCAGGGGTAGTAGGAAACTTCTCAACTGTGTGCTGGGCTGGATGGGGCTCCTCTAGTGCTGCTGCTGTGGCTGGTGGTGCTGCTGCTGTGCCTGCTGTGGCATGCTTTGTCATCTCATGTGCAGTAGGTGAAGCTGCCTGAAGCGCTCGGCTCGAAGTGACCGGACCCGCAGCAGCTGCAGACCCAGCGGGAGAGGGAGAGGCATTTGCAACAGACAGGGGCGAGGCAGCAGGCAAGGGCGAGGCAGCAGGCAAGGGTGAGACAGGTGCGGCACCACCCGTGTGCTTCTCCTCATACAGAGCGGCTGCTGCTGCCAGAATGCCATCCACCACCTCGCGCCGTATGCCTGATATGCTTGGACTCATGCCTGCCAGTGCAGTGGTTCTTCCCTCGATAGCAGCTGCTGCACCTGCTGGCGCCTGCTTGAGCACAGGAGTAGCAGCCGCAGCAGCAGCAGAAGCGGCAGCAGCAGCATCAGGAGAAGCAAGAGCAGCAGGAGAAGGAGGAGGAGGAGGAGAAGCAGGAGGAGCAGCAGCAGCAGAGGAGGCAGTGGAGTCACGGAGGTTGCGTGGGGGGAAATCCAAAGGCTGGCTTCCACAGCTGCCAGTCGACCCAACACTCCCCCTCATCGCCCACGGGTTACCGTTGCCACCACCACCACCACCACCACCACTCCCCATGCCACCTCCCACCCCCACATACGCACTACCAGTACCACCTCCACCAGCCATTACCATCCCCGTGCTTTCTCCTGTGGAACTAGCATGGACCTGGCACGGCGGCAGCAGGCTCCGTTTCTCCCCAACAGCACAGCTGCCGCTGTCCCTCACCCCCCGTCCCTTCACCTCCACACTCCCATCAGACGACCTCACTCCACACTTCCGCCCGTCACCACTCCCTCCCACCGCACTGCCTGCCATAGTACCCTTCTCCTCCACCTCCACCACCACCTGCTCAAGTCTATCCCAAGCTCCCCCTTCCCCCGCTTCCCCCGCGCCGATGGGATCCCCAGTGCTCCCCACCCCCTCCTCCACATCCTCTCCCCTCCCGTCCTCTCCCCTTATTTCCTCTCCCCTCACATCCTCTCCTGTCCCATTGTCCCGCCCTCCCTTCTCCTGCCTCCCGCTTCCCGAGCCTCCGCCCGAGGCTTGGCTCCAAACCTGGTTGCTGCCGACCCTCCCGGTCCTCCCACTCCCCACCATCCCTTTGACACTCGTTCCTCCTCCACCTGTTCCCGACCCACCTTCTGTCCCTCCACCTGCCCTTTCGCCCACCTTCTTCACCTCTTCACTCTCCCCACTCTCCCTCAGTCTTCCCTCATTCACCCCGCCTACACCTCCTGCACCTACAGCGGCCGCAGTTGCATTAGCAGGGGCGGCAGCAGCAGCATCAAACGCGTGTTCAGCCTTCCCAAAAGCAGCAAAAGCAGCAGCAGCAGGAGTTGGGGAGTCAGGGAATACACCAGCCGCTGCCCCTGCAGCTGCCAATCCTGCCGTAGCCCCATGGGACGCGTCAGCAGCAGCATCACCCACACCACCAGCACCACCACCAGCATCACTAGCAGCAGCGCCCGACCGCTTCACACCAGTGAGACCGAGCAGGGAGGCCCAGAGGGAAGGCTTGGCTTCGGGCCACCTGCTCTGCGCCACAGGGGAGAGCGGGAGGGCGGCGCAGGCGGGGAGCGAGCTAGCTTCCGAGCCGTCTCTCAGTAGAGCCGCAGAACCGTATGATGCTGCTGATGCTTGTCCTGGTGCTGCTGGTGCTGCTGGTGAAGCAACAGCAGCAGCAGCAGCAGCGGCAGCAGCAGTGGCAGCACTGCCGTAATAAGCCACACCGGAATCAGTCACATTATGGGAGAACACAGGGCTTGCAGAGGGCATGGGGCTATTGCTGCTTTGCCAGAGCACTGAATTCCCCAAACCCGACGCACCCACCCCTGCACCAGGACTGCCAATACCCGCCCCTGCTGCTCCTGCTGCTCCTGCCGCTCCGATTACCCCACCTGCCATCCCACCCCCAACCACACCCGCTCCCGCACCTCCCATGCCCCTGTTCCCACCACTAAGCGCGCCACTTAGCGTTCCACTGAACACCCTGTTACCCAGCGGGCTTCTGGTTGAGCTTGTGGGCCCCCCGTTAGACCAGCCAAAGGAGCCAGCTAACGAGCTTATAGTGAGTCCGTCTGTACGGGAGCCTGTGGCCCAGTCAGTAAAGGAGATGCCCGAGCTCGCTTCACTCCCATGGGTGTTGTTGGTGTTGTTCGTGTGGCAGGTGTTGCTGGTGTTGGTCCTATGGGCGTCGCTGGGGTTAGCAGCAGCTGTGGCAGTAGTACCTTCTGTGATGGATGTAACAGAGCTGTTGCGCGTGAAGCCGCTGCCCATGCTTCCCCTACTTGCTGACTCGGTGAGAGTGCCCGTCCCTGCGGCAACACTATGCGAGGACGTGTATCCTTCGCTCGTGTTATCCCCCCTGCATCCTTCCTCGTCTCCTGCTCCTCCTCCTGCTGCACCCGCAACAGCAGCAGCCGCTCCACCAAACGCAGCAGCAGCTGCAGCACCAATAGCAGCAGCGCCAGCAGCAGCGTTGCCACCAACTGCCAAGGTACTTGCTTCAGCCCCAACGTCCGTCTCGAGTGTCTGATTCTGATACGTCCTCTGGCCTCCCCGCACTTCCGCATCTGCCCACCCCTCCACTCCCTCCACTCCCTCCACTCCCTCCCCTCCCTCCCCTCCCTCCTCCTTTTCAGCCCCTCCAACCCCTCCCTCCCCATCCCCGTTGCTGCTCCCATCACTAATCTCCACAGCACACCCATCATTAGCCACCAGCGATACTCTTCCCGTCTCCCCCGCCCCACCCTCTCTCTCCTCTTCTTTCTCCTTCCTGCACCCGCACCCCAGCCAGGGCCGAACAACCAGAGGCAGCAGCAGCCCGAACCCCTGCCACACTGCCTTCAGCCCACCCCAGAACTGAGCGCACGCAAGGGAGAAGGAGGAGCCAGCGGAGGAGGAGGAGGAGGTGGGGAGGGAGTAAGAAGGGGAGAAAGCTGGAGGAGACGAGGTGGAAGTAGCAGCCAAGGGCTTCTTCGACCGAACTCCTGCCACTCCTGCTGCTCCTCCTCCTCCTTCTCCTCCTCCTCCTGCTCTGAGCCCCCCAAGGGCCTTCACAGGTGGGCACAGCCCTCTAACCTGCTCCACAAATCCGCACCAAAACGCCATAGTCTGCACCGCAGCAGTGACTACAAGCAGCGATACCATCGCAATATCCCAGGAGGACCCCGGCTCGCATACAGTGGGGTTGGAGGCGGGGTCTAGCGAGACGAACGCGAGGGCGAGAGAGAGGAGGGCGATGTAGGAGGCGTGGGAGAGGGATTCGGTGGCTAGGACCAGACGGGAGATGAAGGGTCGGACGAGGAGGAGGAAGAGGAGGTGCAGGGAGGAGAGCACGAGGAGGGCTATGACCTGCGTGATGGGGGGAGGAGGAGGAGGGGGGGGAAGAGGCAGGATGGGAAGAGGAAGGACCTTTCATCTCAAGGGTTGATTCAGAGGCAAGGTTTTCCTATCCCCAATTTAATTCAGCAGGTCAAAGGTTCATTTTGACCTGAGCCATACAAATGCCACACCTACCAACCTACCCCCCAACTTCCCCCTCCTCCCCCCCACCCAACCCCACCTTCCCAGGTTTCTCTCCCATAATTCTCTCCCAGCGAACCTGAGCGGATGCGGCATGCGGTGAGGAGCGGAGAGGGAAGCCTCCCAGGAGCGCGCCCAGGGCAATGCGGTGGGAGAGGTCGGCCAGGAGGTGCAGCGTGCGCAGACGCCCCTTGGCCCCCCTCCCCTCCCACACTGCCCACCTGGTACCCCCGTGAAAGTATCTGAACGAACCTGGGGACTTTGGGTCACCAGGACGAACCTGCGTGCCTTCTCACGTACCTTCGGCTCCTACGCTGCCCACCTGCTACCCCTACTCCTGTGGCAGGCAACACTTGAACGGACCTGAGCAGAAGCGGCATGCGGCGAGGAGCGGAGAGGGAAGCCTCCCAAGAGCGCGCCCAGGGCAATGCGGTGGGAGAGGTCGGCCAGGAGGTGCAGCGTGCGCAGACGCCCCTTGGCGCGAGACACGGTGGAGGGGCGAGACGGGGACGCGGCGAACCAAGGGGCCGTGGCGGTGGGTGAGTCGGTTATGGCCACCTGGGGGGGGAGTGGGGGGGAGTGGGGGAAGGAGGGAGGGAGGGAGACCAAGACGCTTGGCGCGCGACACGGTGGAGGGGCGCGCAGGGGACACAGCGAACCAAGAGGCCGTGGCGGCAGTGGTGGGTGAGTCGGTTATGGCGATCTGGAGAGGGGGGGAGAGGGATGAGGGAGAAGGAACAGAAGAGAAAGGAGGGAGCAGCTTCGTGAGGTGGTGTGGTTGTGAGAGAGCTGAGTGCATGCATGCATCACCAGGAAAATGGGGAAAGCTGCATGTGATTCCACAACCCACCCATCCACTTTTAGGCGCCTTAAAAGATAGTAAGCTGCATGTGATTCCACAACCCACCCATCCACTTTTAGGCGCCTTAAAAGATAGTAAGCTGCATGTGATTCCACGACCCACCCGTCCTCCCACACCAAACCTCCCGCACCTCGTGGGAGACACACCTCTCTCTCCCCCCACCAGCCCGCCTGTCTGGTGAAAACACCATCATCCCTTGCCCTCCAGGGTTCCTTTACGCTCCCCACCCGTACCTCTCTAGCCCCCCATCCGACCCACCTGTCTCATGGAGGCGCCATCTCGCACCAGCCTCACTCGAGCCACCTGCATATTCTTACCCAACACCCCCCCTACACACCCCACAACCCCCGTCCCTCCACCCATCCCACCCATCCCACCCATCCCCACTCCCCTACTAACCACCATCTCCTCCCCCCCCCTCCCTTCCCCAGCCCTCCAAACCCCCTCCCCTTCCCCCTCCCCCTCCCCCCCCTCCTCCCCCTCCTCGACTTTTTCCTCTAGCGTTTTCTGCCACCACCTCCCCACAGCCGGCACCCCTCTCCGCGCCTCCACCAGCGGTCCCCACTTAGCTAAGTGCTCAGCACCGGGATTCTCTAGAATCCCACTGAGCCCCTTGCTGGTGCTTAGAATGAGGCTGCTGCTGGTGCTGGCGTGCTGGGAGGGACGCCACGAGGCCGAGAGGGGGCGACCCAGGAGGAGGCTGAGGAGGCGAGAGAGGAAGCGGTGTGAGGGGGGGGAGGAGTGGTGGGATAGGGCCTTGGGGTCTCGCTCCTGGGGGGTTTGGGGGAGGGGGGAAGAAAAGGGAAGGAGGAGATTGGGAGAAAGGGGAAGTGGAAGGAAAGGTGATGATATCGCCTGCAACGATAGATAGATGGATGTCCAGGGAAGGAAGACACGGTTGTTTTGCATCTGAGAAGCCGAGACGGGAAACAGGCGACGCCATCCGGTGACCCCTTTTCGTTGCCTCACATGTTACAGACGACGGAACGCCACTCAATCAGGAGAACGCCTCTCCAATCGCCTTCTAGCATACCCGCCTTCACCGTACCTCGTACACAATGAGGGGGCGGCCAGCGTTGGCGAATATGGAGATGACGAAGCGAAGAGCAGTGATGAGGAGAGCAACGAGGAGCAAGAGGAGGACCACGGCTATCGTTAGCTGCCCTGGCGAAGTGCCTGTGGGGGGGAATAACAGGAGGAGGAGGAAGCGGGAGAGGGCAGGAGGGAACATTGCAGAAGAGAGTGTGTGTGCAGGAGAGCGGGCAGGAGAAGGAGAGAGCGGGCAGGAGAATAAGAGAGCGGGCAGGAGGAACAGTGCCATGACCACCCCAGGCCGCATCCCAGCAGCATCCCAGCAGCATCCCAGCAGCATCCCAGAATAGAACTGAGAGGATTATAGGACTGAGGGCTCACCTTGGAAGAGAGTAGCCATGGAGAAGGAAACGGCGGGCAGGAGGAACACAGTCAGCACCACCTCAGGTCGAGGAAACGTGAGCAGATGCGAGGAGAGGGGCGGGGGCGAGGAGAGCGAGGAGGGCGAGGAGGGCGCAGGGGCCGCAAAGGGGAGCTTGGAAGGAGGGGAGGCGCTGGCGCGTACTTTGGGCGGGGAAGGGGACGAGCAGAGCCCCGGACTGGAGTGGTTAGAGGCGGGGGAGCGCGAGTGGCGGGAGTAAGGCGAGGGGAAGGCGTAGGGCGAGCGAAGGTAGGGCAAGGGGGTGCTCGGGGGGGGGAGGAGAACGCAGGGGGCGTGGCGCGAGACGCGGAGGAGGAAGAGGAGGAGGAGGGGAAGGAGGAGGAGGAAGAGGAGGAGGAAGAGGAGGGGGGTTTGGGGAGGAGGAGGAGGGCGATGAGGTGGAGGATGGTGTAGGACGAGATGACTATGGAAGTCCAGAAGAGGCTCTGCATGGCTTTGGTCCAGCTGAGAGGGTGGAACGGAAGGGATGGGACGGGACGGGAGGGGAGGGGAGGGGAGGGAAGGGGAGGGGAGGGAAGGGGAGGGGAGGGGAGGGTAGGGAAACGAGGAGAGAGGGGTGGGGTGGAGATGATTAGAGGCGCCTCACAACTTGAGGCGATGACTAAGGCCGTCCAGAATAGGCTCTGCATGGCCTTGGTCCAGCTGCGAGGGATATTGAGATGGGAGGGGAGGAAGAGGAGGGAGAGGAGGGAGGACGAGGCAATGCAATTGAACCGGGTATATTGGCCGAGCATAGAGCATTGATCTTCACTCGTGTAGAGGTCCGCTATCTCCTTGCTAGACGTCAAACGAGAGCAGTAGAGTTTCCTTGCTCGAGCTAGCGAGGGAGAGAGTGATAGCGGGAGTGAGAGTGAGAGTGGAGGGAGTGAGAGTGGGAGAGAGGGCGGCTTACATGAGGTCGTTGTGCGCCCACGAAGCAGCCTCCTCCTCGTAGGAAGCAGAGCCAGCAGCAGTAGTCGCCTCCAGCTCCTGATGCGCTCAGAAACCAGAGGGTAGCAAGGCGGACGGGGGGATGGGGGGACGGGGAAGCGGGAGAGCGGGAGAGCGGGAGAGGACAGGGGAGAACGGGGGGAAGGGGTGAGGGAGGGAGGGCGGAGAGAAAGTCGAGTGGTTACCATGCGGATCTGCTTCGCGGATCTGTTCTACAATGTGCTTACAGTACAATGTAAAACGGATGCTGCGAATGCTCTTCAATCTCACGTTCACTCTCACTCTCACTCTCGCTCTCACTCTCACTCTCGCTCTCACTCTCACTCTTCTCTCACGCTTCTCTCACTCTCACTCTCAATCTTTGTCCCCCGTACCTTTTGAAGGTCGCTGTACTCGGTAGTGGTAAGGTAGCCAGTCGTCGCCATCGTCCTCTCATCCTCACCAGGCCCACCATTCACATCATTCTTGCCATCCGTCTCGTTCGCCCTCATCCCTCCTCGTCGCGTCCTGCTGCTCCCTTCCACCCCAATCATGTCATCCCTTCTCTCTCTAACGCCACCACCACTACCAACGTCACCACTACCAACGTCACCACTGCCAATGGTGACAGCAGGAGCGAGCCCGCCTTGATCCCTCTCCCCTTCTCCCTCCATGTCCTCTCCCTCCTCCTCCTCCCCCTCCTCCTCGTCGTTCCTTTGAAATTCCGCATCCTCTTCTGCCTCCCCCTTCGCTGCATTCACTTGATGCGTACTTGCCGACAGGGATGTTGTTACAGCTGCTGCTGTTACACCAGGGGTGTGGGTGGCCCTAGCAGCAGGTGCAGTTACAGCAGCAGCAGCGGTAGCAGAACGAGGGGTGTGGGTAGCATGTGCGTCAGCGACACCAACAGCAGACCCATTGGGCTTTCCGTGTTTCGAAGCTGCTGCTGCTTTACTCTCATGTGCCGTTGCTGGTGGTGCCTGCAGGAACATCTCATTCGTAGTGAGGTCACCACGACCACCACCGCCGCCACCAGTATCGGCACCACCACCAATACCACCACCAGCATCACCACCAATACTGCTACCAGCGCTGGCACCAGCGAGGAAAGCCTTAAGGTTAACCTCCTTCCCTTCACTCCCCCCTTCACCTTTCACTGCTCTCTCCCCTCCCCTACCCTCCCCTTCCATCTGCTGCCGCTCTTTCCCTCTGGGCCTTCCCTCATCTCTCCCCTTCATATAATGAGGCGTCGAATCTGCACCCAATTCCCTTTTCAACTCATCACTCCCTAACTCCGTGCTATCACTCCCGAGCAACCTCCTATTATGAGGGCTCCTAGGAGGGGAGGTGCCACCTGCAGGGCTTGGTTCGGTTGTATCTATTGCCCCGCTGATACGCACAGTCACAGAGCTGGGAGAGGAAGGAGAGGGGGAGGAGGAGGCGGCGGTGGAGGTGAGAAGGGGTGCGGATTCAGAGGTTTTCGTTGCAGTACTCTGAGCTTCTACTGCTCCTGCCACTGCTCCCACCCCTGCTCCTGCTCCTACTGCAGCTACCTCTCCCACTCCTGCCTCTACCCCAGTTTTTGGAGTTTGCACCGCTGGTGCATCCAAAACGCCGCCCCCACCACCACCGCCACCACCAGCAGCAGCATAAGGCCCAGGGCTTTGCAGCATCTGCGGATTAGGGTCGTGGGTCCAGGGGAGCTGGGCAGTGGGCACGATCCAGAGCAGGTGCTGAGCCGCCTGGGAGAAGGTGATAGGGAGGTCGGTGGAGAGAGACGAGGAGAGAGCCATCGCCTGCAGGTGAAACGCCATGCCCTGCGGTGTGAAGAGGAAAGAGGGCGGGAAAAGGAGAGAAAGAGTGGGGGGACGAAGAAAAGGTGAGATCGCTATGCTAGGTACCAAGGCAGCGAAATCAGGAGGCAAAACGGACCCTTTCTTTTTCTTTTTTCTTTTTTCTTTTTCCCCGGAACTCATTAGGAGTGAGCAGGGACCTTAGGAGCGACAGCTGCCGGAAGCACTAACCAGCAGGTTGTGAGAGGGCACGGCAAGCACGGCTCCAGAGGCAGCAGAGGTGGCAGTAGCAGCATGGAGGGTTAGCAGGGGCTAGCGCGGAGGAGGTAAAGCATTTCTTTAAAAATTCTCAAAGGCACATGCTGCACTCACCAGAAGGTTGCGAGACGGCACGGCGAGGTGGCAATGGCAGCATGGCCAGTGAGGGCCAGCGCAGAGGAGGAGAGGGAGAGCGCCTCCTTTAAACATTCGAAGGCAGATGCTGCACTCACCAGCAGATTGCGAGACGGCACAGCGAGCAGGGCTCCGGAGGCAGCAGAGGTGGCAGTGGCAGCATGGCCAGCGAGGGCTAGCGCGGAGGAGGAGAGGGAGAGCAGCGCAGATGCGGCTATGGAGAGAGATGCTGCTGCTGTGGTGACGCCTGACACGATAGACGCCACTGCTGGTGACTCGTCTGTAGGGGAACGGAGGGAGGGTGGGCGTGTAAGGACGGAGAATGATATTTGGTGGACAAGAGAGGAGGGGAGAAAGGGTTGAAAGGGGGAGGAAGGGGAGGAGGGGAGGAGGAGGGGAGGGGGCGCGCTTCTAGTGTCAGCCAAAAACTTGCCGTCGGTTTCGAACCCCGCAAAAGCAGGCTTGCCCGCCCGCGCCGTGCATCATCATGGCATGGTCAATCATTCAAGCCCATATGCCCCATATGCCCCATGTGCCCCATATGCCCCATATGCTACATACATTGCACGAAGGTGAGAGTGTTGGACGGATGCTCGTTGCTGCGGTTGCCCGGGCCTCCCAGCGCCCCAGCCGGGATGTGGATAGAGGCGGGCTGCCCTGCTGCGCTGGGCTGAATGCTCACCACGACCTGCAGCAGCGACTGCTGGTAGATGCTGGAGAGAGGGGGAGGCGGGAGTGGTTGGGGGGGGGAAGGGAGGAAGGGAGGATCGGGTTGGAGTGCTTTATATGCTGGCTCGCGAGCCGCCTGCCCTGCTGCGCTGGGCAGAATGCTCAAGACGAACTGCAGCAGTGACTGCTGGTAGATGCTGGAGAGAGGGGGGAGGGTCGAGGGGAGGGGCGTGGAGCGGGGAAGCGGAAGGGAGTGGAGGGAGGGAGGGAAACGAGATGCTGATTAGGGAGTGCAAGGTGAGCGTGAGGAGTCGATTTTAGAAGCGCCTCAAGAATAGTCTCGAGCGGGGAAGCGGAAGGGAGTGGATGGATGGAGGAAACCGAGATGCTGATTGGGAGTGACTTTGGAGTCGACTCAAAAGTCACCTAGGGAAACGAGATGCTGATTGGGAGTGCAAGGTGAGCGTGAGTTAGAAGCAGTGGGCCTACTGTGCTGGGCTGATTGCTCACCACGCACACACATGCCATCTTACCCAATAACTGCAGCACCCTCCACAGCCAGCATTGCAGCAGTGAGTGTGCGCACGGGCAGCCCGCCCAATGCTGCCCGCCCCACTAGTGCTACCAACACCCCCACACAGATGCCGTCTTACCCGATAACAGTAGCCCCTTCCACTGCCAGACTCGCAGCAGTGAGTGCGTGCACAGGTGCTGTTAGCGACACCAGCACGCCCACTGCTGCCTGCCCCATGGGCGCCACCAGCACGTGAGAGGCGGAGAGAGACGTGAGACGCACGGACAGCGGTGTGGGGGCTGGCGAGGTGAGGGGGATTTGAGGAAGGGGAGGAAAACGGCGGAGAAGGGAAAGGGAGGACTGAGAACCTTATCCAGATCAATCCGTGTGTAATGAGTCAATTTTTGAGTCGACTCAAAAATCAAGGAAAACGGCGGAAAAGGGAGGGGAGGAAGGGAGGGAGGTAAGGAGGCAGGGGAAGGGGGGAGGGAGGGGGAACGGACGGACAGACAGACAGACGGAGTGAGGGAAGAAGGGAAGCAGTGAGAGCAGAGGAGAAAGAAGCGTTAGGAAGCATTAGGAAGCACCAGGAAGCACTACGAAGCATTAGGAAGCAGGAAGCATTAGGAAGCACTAGGAAGCATTAGGGAGTACTAGGAAGCACTAGGAAGCATTAGGAAGCACTTGGAAGCACTAGGAAGCACTAGGAAGCACTAGGAAGCATTAGGAAGCAGGAAGCATTAGGAAGCACTAGGACGCATTAGGAAGCACTAGGAAGCACTAGGAAGCATTAGGAAGCACTAGGAAGCAGGAAGCATTAGGAAGCACTAGGAGGCATTAGGAAGCACTAGGAAGCACTAGGAAGCACTAGAAAGCACTAGGAAGCATTAGGAAGCACAAGAAAGCATTAGGAGGCATTAGGAAGCACGAGGAAGCAGTAGGAAGCATCGGGAAGCAGTAGGAGGCATTAGGAAGCACTAGGAAGCAGTAGGAAGCATTAGGAAGCACTAGGATGCATTAGGAAGCACTAGGAAGCATTAGGAAGCATTAGGAAGCACTAGGAAGCATTAGGAAGCACTAGGAAGCAGTAGGAAGCATTAGGAAGCACTAGGAAGCATTAGGAAGCATAAGGAACAATTAAAAAGCATTAAGGATTACCGTAGAGCAGAAATCCGGTGGAGGAGGCGTGGCTGACGGCCCCGTACTCGTTGGTGATGGCAGCAGCGGGCAGGGACAGGGAAACCAGCGACAGGGCACCGGTTGGAGTCACCTGTGGGAGGGAATAGAGTGATCATGGGAGAGGGTTTGGAATCCGGTGGAGGAAGCGTGGCTGACGGCCCCGTACTCATTGGTGATGGCAGCGGCAGGCAGGGACAAGCACACCAGTGACAGAGCACCGGTTGGAGTGACCTGCGGCATGGAATAGAGCGATCATGGGAGAGGGTTTGGAATACAGGCAAAGAGGCATGGCTTACAGCCCCGTACTCGTTGGTGATGGCAGCAGCAGGAAGGGACAGGGACACGAGCGACAGGGCACCCGTGGGGGTCACCTGAGGCAGGGAATAGAATGACCATGGGAGAGGGTTTTAAGAGAGGTGGAATTGTACTCATTGGTGATGGCAGAGGGAGGCAGGGAAGCAGACAGAGACAGGGATAGCGGAAGGCAGCACCCATGGGAGTGACCTGCGGCAGGGAGAAACACAAGTTGGGCTAACCCCGTTCTTACGGGCCTCAGAACACTCAATCACAAGCCTCCAGGTTTCCCGCCCTAGTCTCAACCGTAAGCCTGGAGGAAACTGGCGGGAAGGCCAAGCCCAGCGAAGCCACGGCACTCACCCACACGCGGAGCTTCCTCCTGCTGATCGTCTCTATGCGCTCCACCCTCCCCCCCTTCACCGCAGCCGCGCCCCTCACAGCCGCCTCCAGCCCATCCGCTGCTGTCTGCAGCCTACCACTCGCACCCACATGCATCTACCGGTAGCAAGATACCTGGAAACCTGTCAGGAGAAGCAAGCCAAAGCAAGCCAAGGCAAGCCAAGCCAAGGCAAGGCAAGCCAAGGCACTCACCCACACGCGGGGCTTCCTCCTGCTGATCAACTCTATGCGCTCTACCCTCCCCCCCTTCACCGCAGCACCGCCCCTCACCGCCGCCTCCAGCCCACCCGCTGCAGTCTGCAGCCTACTTCTCAACCCCACATGCATGCACCTGCATCCATGCACGTCCGACCCCTCACCCAGGCACATGCTCCCATACCAACGCTCGTTAAACACTCACCGGCCGGCACACATGCACTGGCACCCATGCACTGGCACCGACACACCTTTAGGCACAGCAGGAGCAGGTAGGCACTCACCCACACGCGGAGCTTCCTCCGGCTGATCGGCTCTATGCGCTCCACCCTCCCCCCTTTCACTGCAGCACCGCCCCGCACAGCCGCCTCCAGCCCGTCCGCTGCTGTCTGCAGCCGCACCAGGAACCGCACATCCGAGGGGTCCAGAGCGGTGTAGAGCGGCCGCAGCTTCCCGTGGACGAACACGGGTGAAGGGTCTAGATCGGGGATGACTCGCACCTTCAGCTCGCGCTGGTCTGCTCGGGGGGAGTGGGGGCGGGGAGAGGAGGGAGGAGGGAGGAGGGAGGAGGGAGGAGGGAGGAGGGAGGAGGGAGGAGGGGGAGGGGGAGGGGGATAAGGGAGTGAAGCGGAGGAGAGAGGAAACGCGTGCACGCGAGGATCAAGCACGAAGGATTGAAGAAGTGTTGATCGAGGTACGTCAGCGCGGTACGTCAGCGCACCGTATCGGAACTTGATCGAGGCGGACGAGCAGGACGGCACCAACTCCTCCTCCGCCTCCGCTGCCGCTCCCTCCGCTGCTCCCGCTTCCCCTTCCGCCTCTCCACTCCCTTGCGTCCCCTTCAGCCGCATCATCAAGTCACTGCCAGGCAAGCCCGTCTCCGCCTTCCTGATACTCCGACTGCTGCCGCCAGCACCACCAGCACCCCCAGAATCAGCAGCGGCAGCACCATCCGTGACTTGCTCCAGGGTCACGTTGACCCGGCACGCCTCTCGGGGCATGCGCACGATCACGCGCCCGTACCGAGCCGTGAACGCCACTACTGCCGTGTACCGCAGCCCCGGGACCAGCTCCTGGAAGCTCCCAGGAGCGATCTCCGCTGGGCCTCGGACAACGATCTGCAGGGTTAAGGGGGGAGGAGGCAGAGGAGAAGGAATAAGGGCCAATAGGAGCGACTTGACCCTGCAATCCCCTCATCGCGCGCTTGTGTAAAGCCGTGGACGTCATTTGTGCTGTGAGCTGAAGTCCCGGGACCGCTGGGCCTCGGACCAACGATCTGCAGGGTTAGGAGGAGGCAGGAAGGGGGGTCGGGGAGGAGGTGATGACGGTTGGGGGGATGGTGGTAAGAGGGGAGGACGAGAAAGAAGGAGAGGAGGAGTTGGGCGGTGGAAGTGGGCCTCTCTCGTCTCCTCCCTACCTCTCTCCACCCATCTCTATCCCTCAGCCCCTCAATCTACTTCTCCCCTCCCCTCTCCTCGCTCTCCCCTCCCCTACTCCCCTGCTCACACCCTACTACCCACTCACCGAGCATTCGTTCCTGGAGGCGCACGAGAGGCCAACGCACGGCCGCGAGAGGTTGAGGAAGATGCGAGTCGACGCGTTGAGACTCGTCGGGGAGACGGCGGTTATCACGGCAGGTACTCGGCACGACGGCTCTGAGCAGCACGGAAAGGAACGGGCACGAGGTGGGCGGGCGGGCGGGCGGGCGGGCGGGCGGGAGAGAGGGGAGCGGCGGAGAGAGGGGAGGGGGGGAGAGGGGGGAGGAAGCAGGAGGGTGGTTGAGTGCATGCGAACGCATTACAACAGAACGGCATCGGATCCAAAGCCTGTCTCACATGGCCAAGCCAACCAGAATGCGCCAAGTGGCGCATCAAACTTGGGAAAGCGAAGCGAAGCCCATTAAGGACTTGAAGCTTCACTGTAGCAGCAGGAGGAAGCAGTGAAGCTTTAGAACTGAAGAGCGGGCGGGAGGGGGCGCGCGCGTGCGCGTGCCAGGCACGCGCCTGGATGGTGCATCGATTTTGAGACGACTAAAGGCCTGAACTACCGACTCAGTCTCTCATCTGTGATACAAATTCTCGCCTGCGACACATGCGACATGGAAATCTCACCTGCGACGAACTTGTGCGACGCGGACGCACTGACAGCCCCCTCCGGAAGCCCGCCGCCCGGCACGCGAGCAGCAGGCGCGCCAGTGTCGCTGGCGGGGCTTCCGCGGAGCGGCGAGGGCGGCGCAGTGGCGCGCACACGGAAGGTGTGCTCCCCCGAGTCGAGCGCTGAGTAGCGCTTGTGGCCCCTGTTGCACGGGGTGGCGGGCCTGCCGTCGATCTGGAATCAACCGGGGGGCGGGGAACGTGGGGGGGAGGGGGGGAAGGGAATTAGGCAGAGGGAGAGCAGAGGACGGAATACGTGGGAGAGAGCAGATCACCGCGTGTGGCCCCTGTTGCACGGGGTGGCGGCGGGCCTGTCGCCGGTTTGGATTCCCTTGGCGGGGAGTTAGACGACGGGAGAGCAGAGGGTGGAGGATGGGAGGATGGAGGAACGAAACGGGAGGGATGGTGGTGGTGGGGGTGGGGGTGAGCGAAACGGAGTACTACAAGGGACGCACGCAGGATGAGCGAAGCGGGCGGATTTTGTCACAATTACATTTACATTCACATTCAAGTAGAACGGACACATTCACATTGACACGCACCGAGCAGGCGAAGGAGCACTTGTCGCAGGGGCTCCCCTCGGGCCACCAGAGCGCCGCGAACCGGAACTCCGCGCTACCCCCTCCGCCCCCGGCCCCGTCCTCATTCCTCTCCGCCGGGGCCGACGTGATATTAACCACCAGCTGCACCCTCGTCCCGCGTGGCTCTGTCGATGCCTCCGGTGATGGGTCTGACGTGTTCACCGCTGAAGGTAAACGGGACGTGGGGAACGCGCCTCCCACTGCTGCCGTCGCCTCAGCTCCAAGCGGCGTCACGCCAGCGGATAGCCCCACCGCGCCTCCTTGTCCTGCGGTGATTCGCGAAACAGCGGCGGCGGCGGCGGCGGAGGCGGGATCTGGGGAGGGGCGCAACCTCCCGTTGTGGTCAGCGCCAGGCGGAGGATCCGCGGCGGCAGCGGGAAGGACGGAACGGGGAAGCAGACACAGCGCGACGAGGAACGGGAGGAGATTAAGGAGCGTCGGGATGCGTATGCGGCTACTATGGCTGGCTGTTCTCGCGAGTAAGTTGCGGCTGTGGCTGGGACGCATCGGCGGTCGCTTGCCCGCGGGCGACTGGCTGCTCGGCCGCAGCGTCGTGCTGACGGTTGTCGCCGCCGAAGCCGTCGGCCATGAACGGTGAATGCTGCGAGCTGCCATGATCGACTGATGATGACTATGCCGCTGCGGATATTAATGTCACGGCGCGGCGGCGGCTGCTGATGCTGATGCTGATGATCGTGGAGTTGATCCCAGGGGCAGAGGTCAAATACGAGTACACGTGTCAAGCCCAGGAGTCAAGTACTGGTACACGTGGCAAGTCAGGTGTCAAGTACAAGTACACGTGTCAAGTCAGATGTCAAGGTCAGTGTCAAGATCAGTTGCCCGAATTGGGGACCACGGGAATGACCGTGCCAGCTTGTTATGCCGCGTCAGGGGTGAATGTGGTACAGCTTGTGCCGGGTGGTAGTAGCTGCGACTGAAGATAACTAGTGTCCTGTGCGACAAGATCGACAGCATGCGCGCGGGGGGAAGAACAAGGGAATCGAGAGGGTGGCTCACTAAGCAATCAGTGGTGGCTTGATCGTAGCGAGACTTGGGAAATCTGAGAAAAAATGGATGCCATTGCTTCCTGATGTGGGTCCATCTGCTTCCGAATCTCGCGTTCGTTCCGCAGGCGTTTTCTTCCAAGCCAGCGACGAAAGCCTTCTTCCGCGTTCGCCTAATCAGGGCGAGAAAAGCCTGCCCCCAGCAAGTGATTCTCGCCCTAAATCAATCGGGAGGTGGTCGGGTGTTTGATTTCGGCGGAGTAGATATGCACGTGTCAGGTGATAATCCGGCGGCAGCGGAGTTAGACAGTGGTCTAAAGCTAGACGCGGCTCCGGCAGTCAGAAGGAGGCAAGGATTTTGCAAGAACACAGAGCTGGATGACGGATTTCAGAGTTATGTAGTAGTAGACAGAGGAGAGAGGAAAGATTGAAGGATAAGAAACAGAAGAGCAATGACGAAGTGGAGTGGAGTCCCATATTTGAAAGCCACGCACCACAGAATCAGGGGGGGCAGATCCAGAATCCCAAATCCGCCTCTCGAGCCGCTGCTTGGGTAACATGGAGGCGATTCAGGGCGGGTCCAAATTGAACATCTGATTGCGGTGCAGTAACCTGCTTTGCGTTTCAAAGCGTTCGAATAGCAGCCTAGAATGGTTGGGTAGGGTACTAAGAATGGGTTGGAGTTCCCGAGGAAAATTTCCCCTGGTTCTGTCCCCTTTCCTCCTCCATATACTGTACCACCTCCCGCCACAGCCCAAGGGCCAGCCAGAGGGAATGACGTGGCTCGAGACGAGAGACCAGAGCCAGGCCAGCCAAGTGAATTCCTTTGTCTGCTCCTGCCCACACCCCCTCAGGCACAAGGAGGGGCTGGTCTGGGACTGGCTTTCCTTCCATTCGTCTCTCCCCGAGGCGTCACACTGGCGAACAATGTTTGAATCAGATTTTCCCGCCATTTTGGTCAGACTTCAAAACCTGTGTCAGGGACATTCCCCCGTGTCAGGCTTTACCAGGCCTAATTGGCCGAAGTCCTGCCTACCCCAGACATGTCCTGCCTACCCCACTTATCCTTGCTACAAGCCCACTTACAGAGTTCTGCATCATATGAGATTTTACTATTGTACTACCACATCCTTCAATTTTCAATCAATTAGTATTATATCCTGGTTTATTATTGATTAGAAACCTGATTTATCATGCAAAAATAAATCTGCTTAATGTCTCCCTATGGAAAACTGGACCACTGAATGAAACTTGTATTGCATATTCCAACGGCAATAGACATTCACGAACAGCATAGTTTTAGTAACCTGCTTTTCCATGTCGAGGACAGCTTGACTAATAGCACATTCTGACATCAGCATCGAGATGTCGGCTCATCTTTGACAGCGGAGATCCCGCAACATCCGCCGCCTGTCACAACCTGCCAACCAATCTCCCGCCACAGAAACCATCCACTCATCACCCTTTTCCCTGACAGGTCCGTCAAACCCCTTCCGCCCATCATGAAATGCAGACGACTTCACGATAACCGCGGGATGTGCGCAAACCACAATCCCCCCTTTCCCCCGCACTTCCTTCAGCGCGCATCAGAAATCTCCCGCGTGCGAGGCCCACAAATCCCAAGGGGCCGTTCTGGTCAGATCTGTGCTCTCCACCAATCCGCATGCAACCAACCAGCACTAGATCAGAAAGTCCTGGCAGTGCAGTCCCCTCCCCTCCCCTCCCTTCCTCCCCTCTCCCCTCCCCTCTCCCCTCCCCCCCCTCACCTCCTCCCCTCCCCCCACACCCCCAGCCATTTCTCTACACTCCTTACCTCTCCATGCAGCATTTCCTCACTCCGTCTGGCCCTTGCAATCTCAAATGTTCTTAGGAATCTTATATTCCTTCCTCCTGGTCAGCTAGTGCTGCCTCGGCGCATTTAGACTTCAGGGCTCTGTTCACTTGCAGTTTGTGCCTTTCCATGTGGGAGCAGCTCTCCATACCGATAACTTCCTTCGATCCAGTTTTTACCCTTCCTCGAAACGTCAGCTGAGCACGTTCTGAATTAGCTCTTAAATTTCTGGAAGCTAGACTCGCGTCTCTATTTCGAACGCCTATCTCGTCATCTTTGTCATCTTATCGGAAGTTTCACTTGCGTGCACCGATCTTACTCGGGACTTTGGTTATCTCCTCTGCGCCTTCAACTCTAACCTCTGGTTCCTCCCACGCGCAACCATGGCAGCCGCGGCAGCAGCAGCAGCAGCAACGTCTTCACACATCGCGGCCACGAACATCTTCTCCCCCTCCTCTTGCACTTCACCCTTGTCCAAAGCAACTCCATCCCTCCTTTCAGCTCGTCCCCCCGTTCAGTCTATCGCGTCACCCCGATCCCTTTCCCGCACTCGATCAGGCCCCTGCGCTGCGTCCGCGGGAGGCGGAGGAAATGGGGGCTGGGACATTGGCGCAGGCTGGGGGAAAGGCGGCGGCGGCGGAGGCGGCAGTGGCGCAGGTGGAGGCGGAAGTGGCGGAGGAAGAGAGGACGGAAACGGGAATTTCGGACCTAACGATGACTTCGGAGGGATGAGAGGTCGCTTGGCAGTGGCTGTTGCAGCAGCAGCAGCCGCCATTGCCTTATCGTCTTCAGACGAGCTTCGCGCGCGCGCAAGCAATCCGCTATTCGCCTCAGTCTCCGCTTCCGCTTCCGCCGCCAGCTCCCCCACTTCCGCAAAGTCCGCCGAGGTGGAGAGCGCCAAGGGGACTCCGCCAGTTGTCACTTTCCCCCCATCCTCTGCCGGCTCTTTGCGTCCGTCAAACCCGCCAGCGGCTGACGTTAACGGTGACGATGACGGCTTCGGGGTGACGGACTGGTTGGGCGGCGCGCTGTACGCGTTATTGTCGAAGCACGTGGACCGGCAGATGAAGCGGCGCGCAGCGGCGGAGAGGCAGCAGGTGCTGGCGGAAGCGGCGGACATGGTCGCGGCGGTGCTGGAGGAGAAGAAAGCGCGGGAGAGCGAAGACCCCGTGGCGCACCGGTCAGAGGTGAGTGAAGGGCCGCGGTGTTAGGGCCTTTTGAAGAGGAATAGGAAAGGTGTCATTGAGGGGATAGGACTATGGGAAGTCGTCGGGTCGAAGGAAGTAGAAAATCGTAAGGATTCATTTACGAGTAAGTGATCAAGACGAGTTTTGAGTGGGAGATAGATTGGGAATGGGAAAGAGTGGTGCCAGATTAGTGCTAACATGTGGCATAGCAAGGATCAGCGTGAACTTTCGGGCAGGCTATGCACTCTGGATCCTAGGCTCTCAGCCAAGGCTACCTTTCAGGCTTGGTTTACTTCATTGCCCACTTGTTCTCGTCCTCTCCTCTTCCTCGTTTTTGTTTTGTTTTGTTTTGTTTTTTGTTGTTTTGTTGTTGTTGTTTTTTTTCTTTCTTTCTTCTTCTTCTTCTCCTCCGTGTTTTCCATGAGTTTCTTGCTTCACGCATTCATTCCCAACCCTGCCTCCCATCCCCCTCCACGTTACCATCCCTTATTCCACACCTCTCCCCTCCTCTCCCCCCCGCTTTCCCCCTGTCTCCTCTCCCTCCCTTCCTCCACCCCCCTTCTCCTTCCCTACCTTCCCTACTCCACAACGTGCCCTCTCTCCCCCCACCTTCCACCTCACTCCTCTCCCTCCCCCTCTCCCTCCCCCTTACCAGGTGGGTGCCCTCCGCCGCCTGCAGCGCGAAGCCTTCGAGGACCTCCTTCGTCTCAAGGACTCCATGCACACCCTGCAGCTCTGCGACGTCTCAAAGCCACCTCACCCCTCTCCCTCCACCCCTCCCCACCCTCTCCCCCCTCTTCCCCCCACGTCCCTCCTTCGCACCAGGTGGGTGCCCTCCGCCGCCTGCAGCGCGAGGCCTTCCAAGACCTCCTCCGCCTCAAGGACTCCATGCACACCCTGCAGCTCGTCACCGGCCTGCGCCACCGCGACCCCCCGCGCGGGCCCAACGCGCGCCCCCCCCTCTCCGGCAGCAGAATCGGCGCGGCTGGTTCTGCCGCCGCTGGTAGCGCTGCGGCTGGCGCGGGGGGGGTGAGCGGGGGCGCAGGGGGGGCGGGGCTGGGGAGAACGAGGCTGCTAGGGGAGGTTTCAGGGGGGGCGGCGGTGGTCCCAGGGGCGGACGGTCCTAGGGGGCATTCGGCCAGAGCGGCGTTGGAAGAGGCGGGTATGCGGTCGGGCCTGCTGGTGAAATTCAAGTTTGAGACGCTGTGCCGAGCAGCGGATCTGCTTGTAACGGAGCTGACTGCGGGGCTTGGCGAGGACAGTAGTAGCTTTATGCTGGGCGGGCCGATTAACCTGCATAAGGTGGTGTATAGCGCGGAGGTGGCGGATGGAGTGAGGGTCGTTGCTGCGCCTGTGGGTGCGTCGGGCACGGATATTGCCGAGTCGATGAACCCCCACAAGGTACGTGCGAGCGTGCGAGCGTGCGTGCGTGCGGGCGGGCGGGCGGGCGGGCGGGCGGGCGGGCGGGCGGAAGGGGGTGTGAGTGATTTTGTGTGTGAGTGAGTGTGTGGAGATGAGTGTTTGTGTTGGGGATGAAGGGGGCGGGGGAGGGAAGGAGGGAGCGGGAGGGTGAACCTGTGGGGCGTGAGGGGTGTGCGTATGGTGTGCTTGTGTCAGTGCAACCGTCTCCTTCCAACCATCAGCTTGTGTGCTTGTGAGTGATTTTGTGTGACGGTTACAAGCACACAAGCACAGAAGCACACAACCTACACGGGATTTTGTGTGATAGTTATATGCCGTGTAGGTCTCCTTATCCTACATCCCCACTGCCATGACATCCATGGCACGTTCCCCACTACTCTCAGTCTCCTCCCATCAACCTTGCTTTCCGCTCTTCCCCACCACTCCCTCCCACCCTTCCTCTACCCTTGCATACCCTGCCTTCCCCTGTTTCCCTGCTCCCGCCCGTTCCCAATCCTCCTCACCCTGCTCCCTTCCCTTCCCGAATCATCCTCCTCCTCCCTTCTTTCCCCCCATCCCCTTACCTCCTCCTCCCCCGGCTCCCGTCCGCACCCCGTCAGGGCCAGGGCCTAACTCGGTTCGCGTCCAACGGCATCCCCCTGCACCAGCGCGCCAAGGGCACGGCCCTCGGCATCTCCCTAGTTGGCACCTCCGCCTCCTTCTCTGCCGCCCAATTCCTCCACGGCTGGGGGGTCACCCCTGACGCTGCCGAGGGGGGCGACGCCGGCGCGGGCCTCTGCTCCTCCTCTCTGGTGCAGCTGGCGCTACAGCCGCAGGACAATGTTCTTCTCTCCTTCTCCGCGCTTCGCCGCGTCTGGCCCGCCCCGCCGCTCCCGTCTGCTCCGGGCCTGCACTGGTCCGAGCTCGGCCCGATGGTTCTCCCGAGGCTGCTGCCGTGGTTCGGCGGGAGGGCCGGGGATGCGGTCGGGGGGAAAGACGACCCTACCAGGTCGGCACCGGCAGGGGTGGATGAGTACTCAGGGAGTGAAGGGAGGGAGTTGTGGGTACCACCGCCAATGGACCCAACGGTTGTGCAGTCCGTGGCAGTAGCAGGGGCGGTGAGGCTCAATTCGAGAACTACTATTGCTGCATGGGCGCAGGCGGAAGGGGGGGAGTGGGTGCCTGAGGAGGCTCAGAAGCGGTTGCAATGGTCCCTCTCCCTGCTGCGGCAAGGGAAGGGTGAGGCAGGGGAGGCGGAGAAGGAGAAGGGTGAGGATGAGAGTGGGGAGCAGGAGGAGGAGGAGGAGGCCGTGCGACGGGGGACAGCAGCAGCAGGATCAGGAGGATCGGGAGCAGAGAGTGGAGACGGGAGTAACAAGCAGACGAAGCCACAAAAGAAGAAGAAGAACGGTGGTTGGAGAATCTTGAAAACGCTCGACAAGGCAGGCTATGGCATTTGCCTTGGTATCATGCAACCAGACGCAGTCACAGCAGCAGCAGGGGCTGGTTCTAGCGGCAGCGGCAGCGGCAGTGGCGGGATGGGAGCCGTAGCAGGAGGGGGGGTGGGGATGGGAACGGGGGGTCGGGGCATGGGCTGTTGCCAGGGCAGCTTCAGGCAGAGGCGTTTGCGAGAGTGGCGTGCGGGCAAGGGGTGACGCTTCAGCCGGGGATAGTCTTGGCGATGAATGAGAACTCGGGTTGCCACCCCGCCCTCATGCTCCGCACCTCCTGGACCCTCTGAGCAGAGTCTGTGCTGCGTGATAGCGTGTGCCGCCGCATACCGCGCAGTGTGGTGCTGCGGGCTGCTTTTGAGGCGCCTCAAAGTGAGAACTCAGGATGCCACCCCGCCCTCATGCTGCTTACCTCCAGGACCCTCTGAGCCGAGTCTGTGCTGCGTGATTGCGTGTGCCGCCGCATGCTGCGCAGCGTGGTGCTGCGGGCTGGCCTTGGAGGCTTCCTGTGGATTCTTGCCTTACAAAACCAGGATCTAGGATGATGGTACTGGGATGTCCCTCCTTGGAGGCTTGCCTTGGAGGATTTCTTGCCTCCCTTGCTGGCTTGATCGCGTCGCAATTTGCCCCCGCCAGTGCTGTGGTGCCAGCAGCCAGCTCCTCTGGCTGGAGGGGTGACTGGTACCCCTTTGCGGTGCTTTGCTTCTGGATAGCTGAGTCTGGAGCGTGTGTGTGGGGGGCTAGATGAATGAGAGGGTGGGTGAGGGATACGTAGGGATGAGGAGGGATGGTAGGTGAGAAACCAGGGATAATGCTATCAAGTGGGAGCGGAAAGGGCTGCTGCTCCCGGTGAACTACGCTCGTTTCATTTGTTGCTGGTAGTTTGTTTAGGATTCCTTTCCTTGGGCGTACCGGTATTTAAAAGCGGCATGCTAGCTTTTATACCATGCTGTGAATATGTAATATGGTCCCCACCCAGCCAAAAAGGGAGGGGGAAAGGGCATGCTCTCTCAAAATTACTACACTACTGCTCTAAATCTAGCATTAGAGAGAAGGCATTCGTTCGCATTCCAGTACCCTACCCACGCGGCGCAACATGGTTGTACAGTACATGTTTCATGAAAGAGACCCAGACACCTCCTCTTTAGGAATAAATCTACCCCTCCCCCTGAACCCCGAACCCCCCTCTCCCCCCTCCCTTTCTCATCCTCCTGTTCATATCAGTGTACGTCGGTCTATCCTTGTGTGCCAAGCTGACCATCCCTTACCCTTTCCTCTTCAACATCAGGCAAACCAAGCCCTCCATCCATCCCCCCTTCCCCATCTCCTCCACTCCTTTCTCTATATTATCCTCCCCCTTTCCTCATTCCCCACTTCCCTTCCACTTTCCTCCCTCCTCCCTCCCTCTATTCCCTATTCTTTCCCCCCTCCCATTCACTCACTCCCCTTGCCTTTGCCTTTTCCCAGCCCCTTCTGCTTCGCTCTTTCCCCTCCCTCGCTTTCCGATCATTCGCCCCAGCCTCACTGCACTACCTCTCCACCTTCCACTACTCATCCCCTCCCTTCCACAATCCACCCCCCTGCACCTGCACTCTTTCCCCCCCTTCAACCCCCCCCCCCCCAACCACCACCACCACACTCCCCGCATCATCTGTCTTCCCTGTCACTCCCCTCTCCCATCCGTCCCTTCCTTCCCACTCTACCGTTCTTCGCCTCTCCTCCCCCTCCCTTCCCCTTCTCTCCCCTCCCTTCTCCCCCCCTCCCCTCGCCCCCCTCTGCATCATCCCATGTTTCCTCTAGCAGAAGTGCCGATACCCCATCCGCTCGATTCAGCTTACTCTTCCCTTTCATCCCACCGCCACTGCCACTGCCACTCCCACGCCCCGTATTACTACCACTCCCGCCGCCACTGCTGCCACCTATCCCTCCAGACAACCTCCTAGTGAGCTTCTTCTCTACCCCTCCTCCTTCCTTCCCTCCCCCTTCCTTCCCTCTCCCCTCGTCTGCTCCACCCACCCCCCCAGATGCATGTGCGAGTGTGGAGTTGGGAGGGACGCTGTGGCCGTGTGTGGGGGGGAGAGGGGCGTCACACGCTGCTGCTAGAGCAGCGCAGGACCCAGAGGGAGCCTTCCGAAGCCGAGTTTTCACAGGTGTTACTCCCGTCCCACCTCCTCCCACTCCTCCTCCTCCTCCTACTCCTGCTGCTGCCCCCTCTTGGCCTGCTATGCTGGATCCTGTATCACTGCCATACCCACTCCCACTCCCCATGCCACCTCTCTCCAGTGGCCCGCTCACGTCAATGCTGCTGCCACTCCCCAGGGACCCTTTACCTCTCCTCAACTTCCTCACCCCTTTCTCCTTCACCCTACCAGCACCAGCACCAGCACCAGCACCAGCACCAGCACCAGCACCAGCACCAGCACCAGCACCAGCACCAGCACCAGCACCAGCACTGCCACCTGTCCCTTGATCCGCACTTGACCAGTCACTAGCCCCGCCTATAGACCCCTGCTTTTTCTTCACCTTCCCACTCCCCGTTCTCTGCACTGTAGATTTCCTTTCCCTGCTCCCTCCTTCCCCACTCTCAGTCGCAACCCCACCATTCTCAAGCCCTGCGGCAGCATCAGCAGCGGCAGCAGCAGCAAGAGCATCTGCCAAGTTTCCGCTGCCTAATGACGATCGTCGCACGATCCGCTTCTTCGCACCCCCAGGGCCCGGTGCGTACGGTGGGTGCGACGAAAGAGCCCCTTCTCCTGCTGCTCCGGCTGCTCCTGCTCCTCCTGCTGCTCCTGCTCCTGCTACTTCACCAGCAGCAGCACCAGCAGCTGCAGCAGCAGCAGCAGCAGCAGCAGCAGCAGCATCCCCAGCAGCACCCATCTCATCCCCCTGCCCACCTACAGAGGATTGCCGATTGGCCTTGCTGCCTTTCCCTTTCCCCCCTCGCTTTTGTGATGGCTCTGCTGCTGCTGCCTCTCTGCTTTCCCCCCCTCCTGTTACCCCTTCGGCTGCCCCTGCTAACCCTGCTCCTGCCCCTCCTGCCCCTCCTGTTGCTGCTGCTACAGAGGTTGCAGTATCCGCTGCCCCCCCTCCTTGCCCGTCAAGGGGACTGCTAGCAGCACTGCTGCTGCTGCTACTGGTGATACCAGCAATCATTTGCCCCATCTGCCCACTGCCGCCGCTGCTGCTGCTGTCCCCAGCTTTCGCCCTCCGCAATCGCCTCACTGGTCCTGCCGCCGCCACCGCCGCTGCTGCTGCTGCTGCTGCTGCTGCTGACTTGCCTGGTTTCATCCGAGAAGCAGGCACAGAGCCAGATACACCAGCAGAGGCGGCATCACCTTCCCTATCACCATCAGAAGCCATCGACAAAAAGTCCCCTCTCTCGTCCCCTCCAATGCCTTCCCCTCCTCTGCCTTCCCCTCCTCTCCCTTCCCCTCCTCTCCCTTCCCCTCCTCTCCCTTCCCCTCCTCTCCCTTCCCCTCCTCTGCCTTCCCCTCCTCTGCCTTCCCCTCCTCTCCCTTCCCCACTGCCCACAGACGGTGACTCTTCAAGCCCACCTCCCCACTCTCCCCGCTCCTCCCCCCCTCCCCTGCTCCCTCCCAGTCTCATCTCCCTCAGCTGTGCTTCTGCCTCTGCCACCGTTCCTCCGCTACGAGCCAAACCATGCTGACCACCTAACGAAACCCCTGAAGATGTACCACCTGCTGCTTTGCCTCGGGGAAGCCTTGGGGGGCTGTGCCCTGTGCTGTGGCTCATAGGCAGCCCTGCTGCTGCTGCTCTTGCTGCTGCTGAGGACCTTTTGGGAGGGGAGCGGGAGGGAGAGGAGCGGGAGGGGGAGGAGCGGGAGGGGGAGGAGGAGGATGGGGAGGAGGAAGCAGAAGGGGAGTTGACGGAGTGTCTAGATTGAGCAGAATTGTCGGATATAGATCGACCAAAGGGCTTGCTTGACTGGTGGTGCTGGTGCTGCTGCTGGTGCTGGTGCTGATGGTCGTGGTGGTGCTGCTGGTGCTGCTGCTGCTGGTGGTGGTGGTGGTGTGGTGGTGGTGACCTGGAGTGTGGTTGGAAGGAAGAAGGAGAGATGGGAGGTAACCCGGAGGGGTGTATGTGATGATGGGTTACTTCGCCTGCTGCTGCTGCTGCTGCTGCTGCTGCTGCTGTTCCCGGTCCTCCTGATACTCCTTCTGCTTCCTCTGCTGCATGTGATGCCGAAGCAGCGTTTTCTAACTGTTCTGAACCGCCAGTGCCACCTACTGTTCGCTGCTCACTCATGTCACTCGCCTCCATGCCTCCTTCCCCACTCCTCTCTCGTTGCCCTGATCGACCCTCGCAACCCTCCCCCTCCCCCTTTCCATCCACCCCCAACTCCCCTCCCCTTGCCCTCCCCTCCTCTCCATCCCCCCCACCCCCAACCCCACCTCCTTCCCCCTCCTCCCCTCCCTCTTCCTCCTCGTCCTCCTCCTCGTCCTCCTCCACCTCCCCTTTCCTCCAAACGGCACGTCCTGACATGCCAGAAACACCACATTTCCCCATCCCTTTCCCCTTCCCTTTCCCCTTACCCCCCGGACCCCCAATCCCTTCAACCTCTACCAACTCCTCCTCCCCTTCCTCCTTTCCCTCCTCCTCTTCCCCTTCCTCCTCAAGTATTATCCCCTCCCCTCCGTCTTCCTCCTCTGCCTCTGAAAACTCATCCTCATCCTCCTCCCCATCCCCATCCCCATCCTCCCCTTCCCCTCTCAGCCCTTCTCCAGCCATCTCTCCTTCCCCCTCCCACTTCTCTTCCCCTTCTTCCCCTCCCCCCTCCGCTCCCTCCTCCCCCTCCTCCTCCTCCCCTTCCTCCCCCTCCTCCTCCTCCCCTTCCTCCCCCTCCTCTCCTTCCTCCTCCTCTTCCCCATCCCCATCCTCCTCCTCCTCATCCTCATCATCCTCCTCCTCCTCTGCTCGTCCCTTCAAGTTCCGAATCACTTTAACTCGAACAACCTGATTGAACCGAACACTTCTCTTCGGCTTTACCTCGCCTCCTCCCCCCTCCCCCCCTCCCCATTCCCCCCTGCTGGCTTCCTTCTGAGTGAGCTCTTCCGCTTCAACTCCCCTCCCCCTCCACCGCCCCCTCCCCCTACTCCCCCTACTCCCCCCATTCCCCCCATTCCCCCCATTCCCCCCACCGATGTGCCAGCCCCCTTCCCACCACCAATCTCCCCACCATAGCCCTCCCCTTGCTCCCACCCCATATCCTCCCCCTCCTCCTCATCCAACTCTTCCCCATCCAAGCCCATGCCCATGCCCATGCCCATCCCCATGCCCATGCCTGTATCTTGATCTCCATAGGGGTCTTCCATTCTTCCCCCGGCCGTATTAGACCTAGTAATCGCTCCAGGCCTGTTCATCCCTCCATGCCCCGACCCCCGTCCTCCCCCTCCCCCTCCCCCTGCTCCCTCCCCAAACTCCCCTTCCCCTCTTCCGCCTCCCCCTCCCCCCCTCAGCCCAACCCCCCCTGTAGTGTTGCTCCGCCTCATCATCCCATTCCCCCACCCCCTCCCCCCTTCCCCGACTCCCCCCCCTCCCCCTCTTCCCCCTTGCATCCCCCCCTGGTTGTTCCACCCTCTCCCCCTCCCCTCCATCCCCTGTGCGCCCATCCCCCGCCCATATGCTCCCCCTCTTCCCCCCATGGTCATCCCCCCGCCTCTGCCCATCCCCCTCCCCATCCCCATTCCGCCATACTCCTCTTCATACTCATACCCCTGCTGCTGCTGCTGCTGCTGCATCGCCCCCATTTGCCCCATTCCTCTCCCTCTCCCCATTCCCCCCATCCCCCCCATTCCACCATACCCGCCCCCCATCCCCCCCCCAGCCCCCATCTGTCCACCATATTCCCCCTCCCCATAATCATATCCGCCTTCCCACCCCCCCATCTCCTCCCCATATGCATCTTCCCCCATCTCCCCCCCATACTGCCCCCCATAGCCAATTTGCTCCCCATACTCCCCATACGCCCCCTGCTGGTCCATATACCCCCCCTGCTCCCCGTACTTCCCCCCATACTCCCCGTATTCCCCCATTCCCCCGCTTTCCCCACCATACCCTCCCCCCAGTTTCCCCCTGCGCCCACCCCCCTCCCCATTCCCCCAAACTGCTGCATATACTGCTGCTGCTGGTGCGGATGCTGCTGCTGCTGCTGCTGCTGCAGCATCCCCGCACCCATATGCATTCCCCCATGCATGTTCCCCCCATGCATCATCATCTGCTGCTGCTGCTGCTGTTGCCAGTTCCCCATCCCCCCCCTTCCCCCCCTCCCATACGCGCCCGGACTAGGCAGCATAAACCCTCCCCCCTGCCCCCGCCCGTACGGGCTGAAAGGCGCTCCCCCAGCGGCCCCCCCTCCGACATACCCCATGGGGGAGAGGGGGGGCGCGTGGGGGAGGTTGGGCGCGTGGGGGAGCGTGTGGGGGGAGAGGAACTTGGCCTGCCAGGCGGAGTGCGCCTCAGAGACAAACTCCGCGGCTGTCTTGGTGTCCACCACGCGCTCTATGCTGCTGGCTGCCGAGGGGGGCGGGGTGCCTGGGGTGAGGGGGAGGGGGGAGGGGGGAGAAGGGGGAAGAAGGTGGGGTGTGATACGACGGAAAGGGGGGAGGGGCCAACAGGCAACGCTTTGGTGTCCACCACCCGCTCTATACTAGTGACTGCGGAGGGTGGCAGGTGTGCCTGGGGAAGGGGCGAGGGGGAGATTAAGGGGGAGGAAGGGTGACGGAACCAAAGGTTAGGTTCCGCGCTCTCCTCCCCTAAAGGGACCTCGTTAGAGTTTCTATTGCAAATTTGATTATCTCGTTAGGGGGGAGGGTGATGATGGCGGAAGGGGGGGCAGGAAGTGAGTAAGGAATTGGTGAGGGGGCAAAAGGCAACGGATTGGTGTCCACCTCTCGTGGGGGCGGGGTGAGGGGCCAATAGCCACCACCTGCTCTGTGCTGCTGGCGGGTGATAGGGGCGGGGTGCGTGGAGGAAGAGGGGGGAGGACCACGGAAGGGAGCGGGGGAGGGAGGAGGGAGGAGGGAGGAGGGAGGAGGGAGGAGGGAGGAGGGCGGAGGGAGGAGGGAGGAGGGAGGAGGGAGGAGGGAGGAGGGAGGAGGGAGGAGGGAGGAGGGAGGAGGGAGGAGGAGGGAGGAGGGAGGAGGGAGGAGGGAGGAGGGAGGAGGGAGGAGGGAGGAGGGAGGAGGGAGGAGGGAGGAGGGAGGAGGGAGGAGGGAGGAGGGAGGAGGGAGGAGGGAGGAGGGAGGAGGGAGGAGGGAGGAGGGAGGAGGGAGGAGGGCGGAGGGAGGAGGGAGGAGGGAGGAGGGAGGAGGGAGGAGGGAGGAGGGAGGAGGGAGGAGGGAGAGATATGACTGGCAGGAGATGAAAAAAGACTTTGAGCCGAATTGCAACGAGAAACTCCAGGCAGAGTGACAGGACAAAGCAGCAGGATTGGTGTAACAAGAAAATAAGATTTCCAGGAAAGCATGCATGAGGGGGGGGCGGGGAGGGGAGAGGAGGGGAGAGAAAGAACATGTGGCGATTTCCCGCACCCGCACCCGCGCCCGCTCCCGCACCCGCACCTGGTTGGTGGTGGTAAAACGTCTCCAGCCACTCCCTTATCCCCGCTAGAGTCTCCTCCAGCGTCTCCAGGCTCGCCTTGCTCATATAGTCACACACCTCCGCCGCCTCGGGGTCATCAGCAGCCACTGTAACGAGCGTCCACACCCACTGCCCCGGCCCCACCGCGACGCAGATCGCCACTAACGGGTACACCTCGTACACCTCCCCTGTCCACGACGGATTCGTCCCTATCTCCACCACCTGCACTGGCTGCCCCCCCCCGTTCGCCGCCACCCCTGCCATGCTCTCCGCTCCGCCCCCCCCAGGCTTCAGCACCCATGTCTGCGGCAGCAGCCCGCAGTTGCAGGGCGCGGGGACCTCAAACGGTTTCGCCAGCCGGCCCGCTGCGGACGGCTTCTGCTGGAGCATGGCCACGACGGTTGAGGTGAGCGGGAGGACCCTTTTGAGCCGGAGCGGCGTGTTAGGCTCCGTGCAGGCCAGGTCGAAGCCAACGACGGAGTCGCGGGGGGTCTGGCAGATGAAGTGGAGGAGGGAGGCGGGGGAGAAGAGGGGGAGGTCGTGCCAGGGTGAGACGATGTGGCCGTCGGGATTGGAGAACATGATTCGGTAGTTGGTGGTGCCTGGGACGCCGCACTCCATGGTTTGCCATGCCTCCTGCTGCTGCTCGCCCTCTACCTCCTCCTCCTCCTCCTGCTGCTGCTGCTGCTGCTGCTGCTGGTGCTGCTGCTGCTGCTGGTGACGTTGCTGCTGCTGCTGCTGCTGCTGTGCGCCCCCCCCCTCGTCCATCCCGTCCTCGCCCACGTGGCAGTGCCCTCTGCGGTCGCTGTTGCCCACGTGGCTGTAATCCGCGGCGCTTCTGTTGCTGCTGACGTCGTCAGAAGGAACGTCGGGGCTCCAATTCCCACCACTGGGGCTAGGGCTGCTGCTGCTGCCGATGTATCCTGGGCGAGGGCTGCTATACCCGTTGCTATACCCGCCACTGTTCGCGCTCCCGTATCCTCCTCCGTATCCCGCGCTGCTGCTGTTGCTACTATTGCTCCAGCTCACGCCAACCGGGCTAGGACTGGAGTTTCTGTTACTGTTACTGTTACTGTTACTGCTGCTGCTATGGCTGATCCAGCTGCTGTTACTCGCAGGACTGCTGAAACCACTCTTCTGCAGTAACGATGAGTGGCGAAGGGCGTTGCTAGGGTTACCAGCGTTATCGGCGTTACCAGGGTTACTCGGGTTACAAAAGTCACTGTGGCTACTAGGGTCACAAGGATTACCGAAACCACTAGGGTTACCACTATCAGCGACACTACCACTACGCCTGTTAGCGCTCTTAATCCTCTCCCCGAGGGAATTACTGTTGTTAGACTGCTGCGCGCCAATCGCGCCAACCCCGCCGATTGCAGCGCTGCTGCTAATTTCCCTACTATTAGTAGAATGGGCCTCCGCGGGAGCCCGCTTGAAGCTACGGCTATTCTTGGCAATTCCGCCTCCGCTCGAATCCGCGGAGCAGTCCGCGGAGCAATCCCCCCTGTCGGAGCTAATCCGCAGAAAATCCTCCGCAACTCCCGCTTCTTCCGCCTCTTCCGCTTCTTCCGCCAAGGCTACTGCGTTTTGTTCCGCATCGGTCCGCGGGCCGCCGTTACTTCCGACAAGACCCCCGTCCGCCCCGGCCCCCGCTTCGCGCGCGGAAGCGCGGGCAAGTGCGGAAGCGTTGGCGGAAGCGGAGCCTGGGCAGCGCGGCTGGGCTACTGCTGCTAGCGGCTTGGCTCGTGCGACGGCTGGGCGCACCCCCATGGAAGGGGGGCCACGGGCGCTAGTGCTCTACGTGGTGCTGACGCCGCTGCTCGCGGCCGCTGCTGCTGTTGCTGCTGCGGCTGCGGCTGCTACAGCCATGGTTTTGAGGCGCATAAAAAACAGATGCTATCGCAGTTGCTTCCGGCACGTAAAGCATTTCCCTGCGCGAGTCTCGCGCGCCTGAATGCGTTTCCCTAGGCCGGTTTTCGTGGAGAAGAGAGGGGGGAAGGGGAGAGGGAGGGGGGGGGGGGGCGCTGCTATTCTCTTGCGCAGCGGTACTACGGTATCTACGACGACCTCGAGGCTCGAACCCGCGTGGACCAAGCGAAGTGTGATGATGCGTCGCCAAGCACTTTCACTATTCTGCGGAAATGGTTTCAATTTAGTATGCTCTGTGCTCCCGTGCTCCTGTGTTCGCCTGCGTCTTACGGACTGGAGTGTGGGTGGTGTGGTGGAGGGTTGGTGGTGCGGCCTGCTACTGTACGAAAATGAGGGAGCGAGCGGTTATCGTTCCTCGCACGCAGCACCTCCCAGGCGCTCCACCCCACTCGCGCACCCGCAGAAGCCTACGGCACAACGGTTCCGAAACAGGAGAGAGGATGTTATGAGTGTTTAAAACCCGCGGCCCAAATTGTTCAAACGCACTGCATATGAACTTTGACCCTCAGGCTGTACGAAATACGCTGGAAAATCACGAGGGCGTTTACTCTCGCAAATTCAAAACTCATCGTGAACCGTCAGATTTACAAACACAGAGTTTGACGGATGAGATTACCTTTCGACAGACTGGGGGAAGTGCTTGGCTTACGCGCCGTCAGATGAAAAACTGGAAAAACTGGACGGTTGAAAAACGCTGAGCACCTGGTGTTCCAAATTACCTTCCGCACTGAACTTGAAAGGTACCCCTGAGTGACAAGAGTCTCGTTACCCCCCAATACACCCAGGAAAACACAACTTTCAAACGCAGTGCGTTTGAAGGCCGCGCCTCGCAATTTGGTCCGCGGGTCTAACAGGAATAGCGCGGAATCGAATGTCGAGGTTCACAATAATAGAACGTGATACAATGGAATGACGAAGCAAGATATAGAAACACCAGAGCAATCCTAGCCGAGTGATCGAACAGGTTCGTAGAAGGCATCCGAGGAAGCGGAGCGCTTCGGAGTGACGCGGAAATGGTTTGGTGCCGTGTTCGGGCCGAAGCTAGGGCAGATGTCAGTGCTGTGTGAGGTTTGATATACGAGGTAGCGGTGTGGCCAGGGTTGTCATTATCATAGTATTTTACCCTGATTCCCTGATTTCAAAGGGTACTTTTTCGGCCAGCCCTTAATTTTTAGGGTTTGGCGCTTTTGAACCCTAGTCCCTTCAGGGTTGTAAGTTTTTGAACACTTAGGATTTCAGGGTTTGTGTTATGCCTTTACTGAGTTTTTCGGGAGCAACGTGTACGGACCGTGAATGCGACATCAATCTTAGCGTAGAATTTGAATCTCGAGAGAAAACAGTACAAGGGTATAAGCCTAAGTGTTGTACCCTCTAAGATACGAACCTATACAGTCTATACAAACATAAACTATATATGTTTGACACACCCCCTAAACTGCATAGGTGCAGTTCCTGATGAGAGAAACGGCAACTTAGGGCGGCACTACTAGTCCAACCTCTGATTCAAGGTTCTAAAGACCAGTCAAACAAGTACAGACCAGTGCAAGGGCAAGACCAGGGCGGCACTACTAGTCCAGCCTTTGGGAGAGGCCACAAGGTCAGTCAAGAATAAAAAATATATAAAGGTCTATACATAGTCAAGGCCCTAGCAGGTGAGAGGTAACAGGAACAAGGCCTAGCTGTACACAGTGCCATTGATGATCTTTAAGCGCAAGGGCCTTCGTAAAGATATCAGCTGTGTTGGCACCGGAGGCCAAGTGTACTACGCGAGCCTGGCGACGCTGCTGCAGCTCGCGCAGGAGGAAGTACCGCAGATGGATGTGCTTTGCTCTGCCCTCAAGTCGAGGCTCATGACACAGGAGGATCATGGCCCTGTTGTCAGCGTACAGGACTGGTGCAGAGCTAGGCCGCTCACCTAAGTCAGTGAGCTGAAAGGTCAGCCAGCGGAGCTCCTGTGCCGCCATGGCACCGGCGTAGATAACACCTGAACCAAGACTGAAGCAGTAGCCCTGCGATGACCTAAGGGTCTCAGCGTCGTCTTCCCAAGAAGCGTCTGTGTGCCCAGTAAGGACCACTGGCCTGCGTCCTCCCAGCACTAACCCCATGCCTGATGTACTCGCGAGATAACGCAAAACCCTCTTAGCTGCAGATCAGTGCTGAGGTCTGTGACTGCCTGTGGCCAGAAAGCGAGCCAGGATGCTGAGAGGGTATGCGAGACCTGGACGAGTGCAAGTCATCAGGTACATGAGGCAACCCACCAGCTCAGCGTAAGGACCACTGGGCTCTGCTGACTCCTCAGGAACTGGAGCAGAGAGCCTGTGATATACTGGAAGCGGTGTGGGCTGTGCGGAGGAGAACTGAAGACCGAACCTCTGAAGGACCTGGCGCACCAAGTGTGACTGGGTGAGAGTGATGGTGCGCGCTGCTCTGTCTCTGGAGATCTGCAGGCCCAGGTCGTGGCGCAGCTCTCCTAGGTCAGTGCAGGTGTGTCTCCTCGGTAGCTCAGCCTTCACAAAGGCCAGCGCGGTGGTGTCTGCAGTGGCAAAGACCAGATTGTCTACGTAAACAAGGATGTAGAACGCAGTCTAGCAAGAACGAACAAAGAGCGAGGGGTCTGCAGAAGACAGAAAGAACTGCGGGTCTGCAAGGGTAGCACGCAGCGTGTCGTGCCACTTGCGGGGAGCCTGACGCAAGCCGTAGACTGGGCGTCGCAGAAGCCAGTGGGTCTCAGGAGGGAAGGTACCAGTGAAACCCTGAGGGCGGCGCAGGTAGACCTGCTCGTGTAGACTGCCCTGAAGAAACACAGTGGAGAAGTCGAGTGACTGTAACTCGTAGTCACGATGTACTGCTACGTGTAGCAGTGCCGGAAGAGTAGTCATCTTCAGGGTCGGGGCGAAAGTCTGAAAGAAGTCCACCCCCTCACGCTGACTAAGCCTCTAGCCACGTAGCACGCCTTGAACACAGGCGGCTCTCCTGGAGGGCGCTTCACCTTAGCCAGCGGCCATTGCCTACGTTCACCCCAGATAGGGGAACTGCGTCGACGTAGGTGCCGGTGGATCTCCAAGATGCCATCTCCTGCTCCATGGCAGCTATCCACTGAGAGGCCCAAGGTCCCGAGGTCGCCTCAGCGTAAGTGCGAGGGGTCGGGATGTCGAAAGCGTCTGGGTCACCCTCAGGGACTAGCAGCATGGAACAGAGATGGGGAGCAGCGTCGGATAGGAAAGCAAGCTCATACTGAGGGTCCTCCAGGACGTCACTGCCGAGGGCAAGAGGACCCCTGACAGACGGAGAACGGGCAGGGTCAGAGACCAGAGCGGTGGCGTAGTCAAGGCGGTGGGTAGAGGCGAAGTCAGCGACCGCAGTGATAAGAGTGTCGAGACACGAGACCGGGAGAGATGGGCCGGTAACGAGAGAGGTAAGGACCCGAGGAACAAGAGGACGAGCGGCGCGAAGGTAGTCAGACAGGAGGGGAGGCGCAACAAGAAGGGAGGACGGAGGCGGCGACAGTAGGAGTGGAGAACGAGACGCGTGAGAACAAAGCAACATAGGATGAGAGCGCGGGACAGGGGAGACGGGGCGAGCACGGGAGGGACGACGAGACCAGATGTGAGACGGAGGTGTCGGGTCAGGAGACAGAGGAGGGGACACAGGAGGGGACACAGGAGGGGAACGAGGAGGAAGACGAGCCGCAGACGAGTTCGGGGGAGGGAACACATGGCCGTAGACAGGAAGGGGAGGAGACGGCAGGGGAGGCACAGACACGTGATCAGGGGACGGGAGGCTGAGCAGGCAAAGGGCGGACACCGGCGGTGACTGCTGATGCGGCGGCACGACACCGACATCAGGACTGCAAGCTGCTCCACGGCTACCTCCGGAACACTCCACTCCAGCACCCCCAGAGCCCAAAACCCCGCGAACACCGGTACCACCCCCAGGCCCACCGGGACAAGCCACGACAGGAACCCCAGGACTAGTACCCACCCCGACGCCAGTACCCCCAGAGTCAACAAACTGCTGCTGCGACGGCTGCGGCGACATCTGCGGCGGCGGTGACGGCGGCTGCGAAAGCGGTGGGGACGGTAGAGGAGGAGATGCCTGGGAAGGGGCAGGCGGCGAGGACTGCGCCGCAGGGCCACCAGAGTCAGCAGACTCCTCGACCTGGACAACCGATGGGAGGGGAGTGACGTGAGACCCACTAGACGGTGCAGGACGGGGAGGGGGAGGGGGGGGGCAGGGGCGACCGGGGAAGGGGTGACCAGGAACAGGGGGGGAGTAACCGGGGGATCTCTGTGGGGGAAGCGGCGGTAGAAGGAGACGGACTCGTCAAATGTGACGTCATGGGAGTGAAAGAAGGGTCGGCGAAACCTGCGGCTGCTGGGGGTGCGGCCACAGGTTAAGCTGGTGAGAGGCGTAGCGAACAGCGAACGGTCACAAAAAATGGGGAGCACCGGCATGGATCATGGAGGTACGGGCCACCTCCATGACCAAGCTGATGCATCGCTCAGCGACCCCATTCTGCTGCGGGGAGTCCGGCAAGGTGAACGTCTGTGTGATGCCCTCCGCACGACAAAAACGACCAAGGACACCAGAGGCAAACTCGCCACCACGGTCGGAGTGGAGACGTAAGACAGGGAGACCGCGGTGGACACGCGCAGAGACAAGCCACGGGATAAGAATGTCAGGCACGTTGGCCTTCTGCTCCAGAGAGAGCACCGTGGTGTAGCGGGTGTAGTCATCGACAAGCACTAGGAAGTAGCGCTCTCGACGCGGCCCATGGACGGGGGCGGGGCCCCAGACGTCCATGTGCAGAGTCTGTAGCGGTGCGGCGGTAAGGGGGAACGAGGAGGAGTGAGGGGCACGGCGGAGCCAGCCCTCGACACAGGGCGTGCACGGTGGTGCTGGGGAGGAGGGAAACTGTTATAATCACAATAGGCTTAGCTGTGCCTATAATGAGAGATAGAGAGCACAGTCGGATTTCCGTCAGACGGCTTCAAATATTGATAACGATCTGGTAGCTAAATCAAACGGTGATCTGTAAGTTGGATCTGGAGCGCGTTCTTGTCATCTATCAGCAGCAAGTTGAATCATGAAATTCCATGAAGATTTGACGATGATATGGCGGTTTGACTAGCAGGAGGTATAGCAGCCACTATAGTCTTAGGAGTACAAACTTAGCAAGAAGAGTTCGAGAGGGAGATGGTTCCCAGCCTCTACATACCCCAAGAGCCGAGGTCCATGTTGGTGGTACACCACCACAGAGTCCCCAACCATGAAGAGTCTCGAAACCAACCCTCCAAGGGGCTACACCAAG